GTGGAATTGATCAAAAATAGATTCTCTTGCTTCATGTTTCATTGGCAACAAACCAAAGTCACAAGCTGGATTCTGCACAAAGTGTGAATGCATGTATATTTATAGAAACTGCTTAAGAGTAACTTCAAGCTTCTCGTTCAGTACCCACGAGCGCCTCTGGAAAAATTAGAACATCCAGTGTGCTCGACGACTGTTGGACTCTCCGTCATCTCTTCTCGGTCTTTTGCAGGTTCCTGGTGTCCCGCTGTGACACGCAGAGTGGCTCTGGTGACCGGAGCCTCGGTCGGGATCTGTTCTGTTGTGGTGTGAAAGTGGTGGGCTGCGCCAGGAAGGTGGACAAAATCCAGGTGTGAACTAAAGTGAAAGCTTTATTTCAGCAGTTTTCAGATAGATAGACGTGTAATAAATGTGCAAATTGTGCTGGTTGAAGAAATAAGGTGCCAAAATGTTTGATATTTACAACAAATTTACACCAAAGGCACAAAATCACTGGTACAGCACTCTCTGTGACCTGTTTGTCAGGAAGTCTATGATCACGGTATTAGCTGGTTCTGCAGGTGGAAGCTGGTGGAGAGTTTTGAATGCAGAGGAGAAGTCTGCACACAGGAGTCTGTCTGTGGTGTTGGGTTGTTCCAGATGCTTGCGTACAGGGTCAGTGATGCATATTTTGACATCATCAACCCCTCTGCTCGCACTGGAGAGGGTCCATCAATGGGTTAATGACCTTGGTGATGTGTGTCTCTGTGACTCTCTAAATAGCTTTCATAACAGGAGAGGTGAGAGCTATAGGCCTGAGGTCGTTCAAAGCCTGATCAGAGTTCTTCTTTGGGATGGGGACCACTGTGGAGTGTTTCCATAGCTGGGAAACTATCCTGCTGTCAGTAAATCTTTGAATCTTATCTATGAAACAGGAGCTGAAACCCGCCTCCAAGCTGCTCTGCACAGCACGGCATGACACAACCACTGATGTTCTGAACTGGGTGCTGTGCCCTCCTTCGTCCTCTTGAGGGCTCTCACCACCTCCTTCATGTTGAAGTTGAGTTCTGCCCCTCCAGGCATGAGGGAGGAGATGATTACATCTTTTTGAGTGGCGTTGTCTGTCTCAAATCTGGAGAAGTAGGAGTTGAGGTTGTTGGGGAGGGATGCTGGGCTGCTGCCTGCCAGCTGGACGGTCCTGTGCGTTGTGGGAGTGGGTGTTCACAGCACCCATGTTTTTAATGCCCTGCCAAGGTGAGCCAACCGAGTCTCCCTTGAGTGAATTTTTCCTCAAGCATGCAAAAAGAAATTAGGGGCTGAAATTGTTGATATTTACAAAAAAGAGGGCAAACTCACTGGTATTTACAGGAGAAAAGAGTAGTTAAAAAGTCTAAGTACAGTGTAAAAACAGAGCTAACTCGAGGGCCCTCAGTAGAGGGATATAGTTGCCCTGCCGGCCATGATATGACATTTTTGAAAAAGCGACCGTTAACCTCTAGTGGAGCTATTTTTGTCACGATTGACCCCAAAATCTAATCATTCCAAGGAGAAGCCATTCCTAGCTCACTGTAAAATATCAACTTGTTCAACCTCAGCACTCGAGGTAGAGACTGTTCACAGACACACGGACACATAGATGGGACCGATTAGTCAATACTTGACCCCTGGTCAGGGCCAACTATAAGAATAAGCATGAAGAGACTTGCTTGGTCATGGACGACCAGAATTTTTGGTTTTATTACACAGTTGAGTAACTGGAGTGTGGCAGCCAACAGTCCAGGGCATGAGCCACTGCTCTTGACCAAAGTGTTATCGTGCCTGATAGCTGTGGGGACAAAGAGACCGTTCAGTCCTGCAGCGTAGTGAGATGAGCCGCTCACTGTAGCTGCTCCAGCCAGGATGCTGTGAAGAAGGTTAGTGGCATTGTTAAGGATGGACTGTACTGGACTGTGTGTGTCTCAAGCACAGTCCTCAGTGAGTATTTAGAGGGTTGCACCACTTCAGCGTCCTCCCCTTTGACATTGACAGGCTGTAGCAGGGACTTAGACCTGCAAAAGTCCATCACCTTCTCCTTGGTCTTGGAGAGAAGAAGTGCAGAAGGCTGTTTTTAGTGATTCAGTCAGTGAAGGCCTTCATCAGGTTCTTGTATTCACCTTCCTGCATATTCTTCATACACACCACAACAGCTGTATCACCAGAGTATTCCTGAATGTGGCAGGACTCCAATCTGTATTTGCTCACCACTGTTCTGGATCCCACAGTTTCCCAGCCTGATGAACTGTGTTCGACCTGTAAGATAGATGGTGAGGCAGAAATCAACCCCCTTTGCTTAGAGCTTGTTTTAAAGAATTAAGGGTTGAAAAGTGCTAAATGTGCTTGAGGAGTCAAAGAACATGATCCTCACATATTCCCCCAGTTCATTCAAGTGAGAATAAACCCGGTGGAGCATGTAGAGAACTGCTTCATCCACTCCGACATTCTCCTGGTACGCGAGCTGCAGGGGGTCAGGTGAATGTGCAATGTGAGGTGGCGAAGAACCAGCTTCTCCAGTGGCTTCACGACAAGTGAAGTGAGGGTCCACCAGCCTGTAGTCATTGTTCTCGACCGGACACCCTGTTTTGAACACAGTACTTTCCACTGTACGAGAACCTAAGTGTGGAACCTCTTTTTAGGAGTTTTTTGGAAATATCTTACACACAAAATCTTTAGTTGCACCCAAACACTTGAAGTTTTGACACATATTGCTGAGTTGTAAGTGAACAAAACTATTTAAAAACTAGTTATTAAAAAATGTCACTCTACAGACATTATTAAGTTTTGCCCACTAGAGGTCACAACACTACAGTTTCCAGAAAATAATACAGGACAACTTGGAATTGTTGCTTAAATGTGGACATAAATTCTGTTTATTCACATGGCATTGATCAAGGTACGTACATGAGTAAAAGCAGTGTTAAATACTGTGAGAAAGAAAGGAGCACATCTGAGTCATAACAGCTTTATTTTATTCAGTTATTGTCAGATAATGGGGCTTTGATCGTGTTATTGTCATGTCCTTTGTTTGCACTCACAACATTTAACATTGTTCATGTTGACAATTTTCTTTTGAAATCCCGGGGTTTCTTCATTTGGCTTTTCATATTAATTTTGCTCTTGTTACCTGGTTTGATGCTGCATAGACATGAGACTAAAGTTTATCACTTGACCTTCAGAAAGTCAGAAGTCTTTTAACGAGAAGGAAGTTTTATAACTTTGTCTGTAAGACGGAGGTGGAGAGACGCCACAGAAACATGACAGACAGCTTAATTTGCATTGTAATGATTAGAAATGTTTATTGCCTAAAAAAATTCTGCACTGAGGAAACAGGAAGCCGTTTACATGTATGTGAACATTTACATGAATCATGTTTTCTTCTAAGTCTGCTAAAAAGTCGAGACAGAAATGAGCTGTTAAATGTGTTTATGCTTGAGAGGTTGTAGCAAACAGGACAACAAATCACAACAATGAGAAATAAGCCAGGTTTAAATAAACCAGAATTATCCTTAAACTTTCTAAAAGGTTGCACCATCATACTTTGATTTATAACTAAATACCTGACAAACTAATTACACAATTCCCATCAGCCCCATTTTGATTTTGTATTTAGTGCTAATTAGCAAATGCTAGCATGCTAACACACCAAATGAACATGGTATAAACTGTGCATGTCTGCAGACTCACCTCAGTCAGCAGGAAGCGAATAATATACATATACTGACAATATGGAGATTTTGTAGGGTTGTTAAAAAAGCTAATTCATAGATGATATGTCAAATATTGTGCACTGCCTGTCATGGTGAGTGTAAAGGCTGCAGAGATCTTGTGTTTAACCCAAACATACTGTCCCTGTAAAACCATCAGAGTCTGTTTTAGTGAACAAACGAACTTCAGAGGTTCTAATGAAAGAGAAATCTACTTTCGAGCTGCCAGGAAAATTTCCAGTCCAAAGGACAGCCGGGGTTAGCTGGGGACTGCCAATCGCAATCTAACGTCTCTCCCATGGTAATGAGCATCCGTTCACGCACAACCTACATTTGTAAGATGCACAAATGTTGGCAAAGCCCCTGACTCAGCGTTTTTCAGCGATACGCACCGGACACAAAGAATCTCCTCCAGCACCAAGCTGCAGCTCCTCACACCCAAACACAGAATGTGAGTCAGAGAAATGGGGGCAGTCTTGGCCATGTTCTTCTGCTTCCTCAGTGAGTATTTGTGAAGTACATAGAGAGAGACACAAAACCACCACAAAGGGACACAAAATGACCACAAAGAGATGCAAAATAACTACAAGGACATCCAAAATTACCAAAAAATCAACACAAAATGATCACATGTATAGACCCAGAACGACAACAAAGACACTAAATGACCATAAATGGACACAAACCCTCACAAAGAGACCCAAAATAACCACAAAAAGATGCAAAATGATAACAAAACAACACAAATGATCACAATGAGATGAAAACTGCAAAGAGATGCAAACTGAACAAAAGAAACAATATAGAATGTCCACACATGTACACAACGGACCGCAGAGATGCAAAATAACCACAGCAATACATGAAATGACCACAAATTAATGTGAAATTTATCACAAAACAATACAAAATTAGCATAAATAGATGCAAAATGACCTCAGAACAACACAACTGGCTACGTATGGATGGAAAATTACCAGAAAGAGGTGGCGAATTACCACAAAACACAATATGATTGCAAAGAAATGCGAAAGGATCCCGAAGAGACCAGAAAATGACTGCAAAACAAAACATTTTAGTAAGAAATTGACTGCAGAATGTCTACAAATGAGCACAAATGATCACAGAGAGACCCTACATTAACATAAACAGATTCATAATAGCTACAAAACAATGCAATATGGCCGCAAATGGATGCAAAATGATCACAAAGATATGCAACACGAACACAAAGAGACAAGAAAATGGCCGCAAAACAAAATAGATGTCCTCAAAACAGCACAAGAAGACCATGAAGAGAAGCAAAGTGACCATAGAGACACTGACAATGACCACAAACGGATGCAAAATAACCACAAAACAATGCAGAAGGTCCACAAAGAAACACAAGCAGTGTGTTTTTCAGAGCCATCTGGTCTCTTATTTCAGTAGCGGGTTGCTTTAAGCAGAGCATGCACTTCCTCTACCATCAGTCAATTTAACCACTACAGGTCACAGTTTCTTCCAATCAATAAATCCTCCACTGTGTTGGTGAACATAATGGATTATTGGATTCTTCACCTAATAGGACGTCACAGAGCGTGATGTCCGCTCATTACTACATTCTGCCCTGTACACAGATTGTGTATTCCTTTGTGTGTTTCTGCCTGAGCAGAGCAGGCCTCGTCCTCTCAGATGTTCAAAGCCGCCACCGCAGTAGCAGGCCGAGGTCAGAACCCTAACGCGACCCCTGCACAGTGGGCATCCAGCCAGTGCACTGGGGACGAGGCGCCAGCTGCACATATAGGTTCAGGAAATGCCGTTGAGCTCAATGAATTCATTTTTGAAATTTTTAGTTTTTTTTTTTTTTATGACTTTACGAGGAACAACAGGAGCTTTATAGTGAGTTTCAGCTCATTGTTTAGCTGTTGGAAATTTCACTCTCGCCACTCTGCTCAGCTGTTTTGTGGGAAAAACTTTGGCGCACAGATGGACACCGTTTGCAACTAGCCAGTGGAACAGTGTAGCATTTAGCAGCTGAACAGACAGATACTTTGTCATGAAAGTGTGCGTCCACACACCTTTGGATATATAACATGCGATCCCAAGTTATAGGCTGCTTTTATGTGTCTATTCCTTCCCAGACTGTCTTATCTGAGTTACATTTAGAGGTCTATTATCCAGTAATGCACGAGAGAGGAAGAACATCTGCAAACAAAGATAGTTTGTGCAGCGAAAACGGTTCCTTTCTTCTTTCTGATCCTGTTTAATTGTCTCACGACCCTTTAAAGTTATCTCACGACCCCACATGAGTTCAATCAAAGTGAATACAAAGCATCGGCTTACCGAAAAAGCTCTTAGACATCAGCAAAAGAACAACTTTGTAAAAAATAAATTGTGGGTAGAATTGTTTTTATCCTCGTATAGTTTATATTAGACTTGTAATGTCTTATTTAAAATTGTTTATTTGTAAAAATTGTGGTTTAAATGAGAGTATTTTCTGCATCACAACCAACAGTTTTCTATGTTTGCAGATGTTGTGTACAAGAATGTAAAGCCAAAATGCATTTCCAACAGTCATAAACGTGAAATGGAAAATTCCCGCCACTCTTTCTTCTCTCGCTGTGAGAAATGGCTTTATCACACATCCGACTGCGTTAGCCGCTCTGCCATTTCGGTTAATGATCACGCATGAATGCCAAGCTCCTTTGAATATTTGGGAGTCTTCCAAAAAAATATCTGGGAACTTGAGCTGTGGCACGAAAGTCTGCATTCTGACGTCGCTCCCGCTGTTTGCAAGATTTACTGACGCGGTGTCGCGTTTCTGAAAATCTTCCCAAAGTGCATTTTATATGTGTCACATGCGACGGAGGTCTAAATTAGACACACTGCACTTTCAGACCCATCTAGATAAATTCCTCTAATGCAAGCTTGTGAGAGTCAGCTGACCCGGAGGATTTCAGCCTCTGCGCTGGGTGTTACAAACCTCGTCGGTAAGAGGTGAAAGTAATGAGCACCTAATCGGTGTGGGGAATGTGACCCTGCCTTAAACCACACACACAGGGGAGGCGGCCGTAAACCAAAGTCCTCGGTCCCATCGAACAAAAGAGCACAGTGCATAAACTCAGCGTTTTCCTGGCACGCTTCCTGTGCCTGCAGTATGGAAAGAACGGTCACAAAAACGCAAAATCCGGTTAAGCAGGTTAGCACGAAGCTGCTGCGTTTTCTAATTCTAGCTTCCGACTTTTGATTAAATATTTCCAGCTGAGATCATGTGCATTATTTACACTTTTATTTGCCAGCTACAAGCTACCCAGTGAGAGACCTGCAATGTGCTTGCTGGCAAACACTCTTTCCCTTGTCATGATGCTGCGATATCTTAACTGAATTCATATTATTTCACATATATACAAACCTTTGAAGGAATAGTTTGACATTGTGAGATATGCAAATTCACTTTCTCGCCAAGAGTTACACGAGAAGATTGCTATCACTTTCCATTTACTAAAAATAAAGCTACTACTAGCAGCCAAGTAGCTTAACATAGCTTTTTAAAGACCTCCTGCTAGCAGCACCTCTAAATCTGATTAATTAACATGCTACAGTTATACTACTAGTAATCCTGAAGAGCTAGCTTCTCAGGCAGGTATTTTGCTGTGCTCATGAACACTTTACTTGTGCTAAAGATGAAGCTACCACTAACAGCTAGTTAGATAACAGCTTTCCAACAAAATCCTTCTAGCAGCACCTCTAAATCTCACTCATCAACACGTCAGATTTCAATTGCTAACTAGCAAGCTAGCCAACAGTTATCTAGTTAGCTAGAGAGCTAGCTTCTTAGTTAGCCATCTTCTAGTGATATTTATGTTTTTGAAAATGTATATTATTTTGGATTGTTTCACATATCTAAAATTTGTGAATATAGTTTGACAATATGGGACATACATATTCACTTTCTCAACAAGCGTAATTTGAGGTAATTGCTACCACACTAGATATGAAGCTAACTGTAGCAGCTAATTAGTGTAGCTTTGGTGAAGACAGGTAAACAGCTGACCTGGTGCTGTCCAAAGGTAAGAAAACTCTGCTAGCAGCACCTCTAAATGTATTTATTATTATTAGTTTATAGTAAATATATAACTGTGAATATCTACAAAGATTGAAGGAAACAAATTAAATCTCACCAATTCATAGCTAACTAACTGGCTAGCTAAATAGCTACAGGATGAGGCAATTAGTTAAAGAACAGTCTTCTTTATTAGCACTCTTTCTCCTCTCATAACATTGTCATTTTTTATCTCTATTTATCTACAAATTTTGAAGGAATAGTTTAATAATGTGGGACATACACTTTTACTTTCTCCTCAAGAATATTGTTAGCACTCTGTATGCTAAATATGATGCCACCACTAGCAACTAGTTAGCTTAGCTTAGCTTAGCATAGCTTATTGAAGACTCATTAAATTAAAGGCTGTCAATGCTAATAAAAATCTCCTAGCAGCACCACTGACTCTCAAAAATTAGCATGTCAAATTTCAGCAAATTTGCTTAATTTGGGCAAAAACCCAAAATATAAGAAACGATACTGTTTATTTCAGTTTTGAGCTAAAAGCAGCAAATTGTAGCTCCGCTTTTAGCACAAGGGTATCAATCTTCTCGTTAACTCCAAGCAGTAAAACAAATAAGCCCTTTCCCCCCCAAAAAATGTAAAGCTATTCTTTTATAGAAAATTAATGATAGTTTAATTTATCAAAACATACAAACTGAGGCACTGTGACATACATTCGGAATCATTCCCAAATTTTATTATTGACATGCACAATAAAGTAATACAAAACATGATTCTCACATGACAACCAAATAATTTCCGTAACTTAAATGCAGAACCAGAGAAGATTATGCTGTAAATATTTTAATGTAATCGTATAAAGCACTTTTATCTGATCACCACGAAGCAGTCTAGTCAACTTAGGTTGTGTTTTTTTTTTTTTGCTTTTGCTGCCACGCCTGCACCACATGGCTCATTGTTGTCTGCTGGTCAGCCGTGCTTTCCTTCTCTTCTTCCTGGAGAATTGCGCTTTTGCTTTCTCAATAGATAGCTGAAGTGGACTCATGGCGGGCGCTGCCGAGGTGGTCACGCAGGGCTTTTCAGATCTGAGCTCTTTAGTAGAGGCAGCGTTGAATGGCGTGGTTGTAAATGTCACTGATTCAGTTTGTTTAGGGATGGAAACTGCATTGCTGAGAGCAGCGGCTTCCTTTCTTGGCTTTCTGTGCCGTCTGGCCGCCTGCCGGTGGCGTTTTGTGCTGATAGTCGGGGCGGCCGTTGTGAAAAGCCTCCATTCACCGTGAGGTTCTACCGTTGCAGCAGTGCTCGCGGGGCCGTTCAGTGCGACACGAGTTTCTGGAGCCGTGAGAACAGGGAGCACATTTTCAGAGCTGGCGTAAGAAAAAAGTGGGTTTTCACTCGGAGGAGGCACAACGGTTTTCCTCCTCCTGTTTCTCAGTCCTCTGTCTTTCGACCTTTGTCTTTTCAAAGCACTTAAAGCAGAGTTCAGAGGCCTAGCTTGGATCTTCGCTCCGTAAACGTCCAGCCTGCGTGAAACCTGGCGCTCGGCGGTGGGGATCGGCGGGATGGTGGGAGCGGCGGTGCCAGGGATCACTTTCAGATTGTCCACGGAGGAATTTTGCAGGACAACAGGCATAATGGGAGAAGCCGAGCTGCCTTTCCTCCTTTTCTTCCTCCCCTCTCTGTCCTCTCTCTCCTTTGACCTGTTTCTTTTGACTTTGGAGATTACAATGGGGGCGCTGGCAACGCTGACAACAGGTCGCTTTAGAGTGTCGCTCCCGAAGCTTTGTTGCTCCGGCTGTGCCGTTGGGGTTATGGTAATGGTGGTGGAGATAGAGACGGCACTTATGTTGTCAATCGTGTTCGCTGGAAGCTCTTCAGAAGAGGGAAGAGGAGTTTTCTTGTTCTTCCTTCTCTTCCCCTTGTGTTGCCCTCTGGGTTTTGCTTCATGTGGAGTCGCTGTGCTTGTTGAGGGAGTGATTTCTTTAGACAGCACAGCAGCGTCTGACTCTGCTGGCCTCTTCTGGACGGTTGAAGGTGGTGTAATGGAAACCACCTCCTTCTCCATAGCTGGTTCATCTTTCATGACTTCGTTGGAGGGCTCATCTTTTCCTACGAGCTCAAATTCGCCATCACCGACTCTGTTGGTGTTTCTGCTTGACTGGTCGTGTCTGTGTGACTCGCTGATGAAGTTACCTAAAGCCTTGACTTCTTCTGATCTGCTGCCAGAAGGTGAAACCGCAGCTCCTTCCTCTATTTTAACACCTGCCTCTGCTTTCTGCTTTCTCTTCTTCCCCTTTCCTTTTCCTTTTCGCTTCTTGGTGATTTTCTTCTTCTTTTTCCTCTTCTTCTTCTCGGAGCTTTGCGCCTCGCCTCTTTCAGATTCGGCGGTGGAGCTTTGAGACGTGGAGACGGTGGCGAGCACCTTGATGAAGTCCTCGGCGGCGGTGACGACGTTCCTCAGCGAAGGCTCTTCGGGGCCGGATATCGTCGACTGAGTTGCACTCTCCGGTTTCTCCTCTTTGTTGCTTTTCTTGGAATCTCTGGCTCTGGGAGGAGCCAAGGTCAGCTCATCGATGACGTCAATGCCTCCAAAGTCATACGGCACTGAGTCTTTCAGCACAGCAATGGGGAGCTTCTCGTATCGTTTGCACCTGGAAGAGAGAGAACAGAGTCGAGGTGGTGAATTCAGAAACCAACACAGCTCAGCATGTTGGAAAGCTGCTTAAACGTTCACACGGATACTTACATGCCATACCAGTGGCGTTCTGCACACTGCTCCTCGTAGACGAACTCAAAGCAGGGAACGCCGATGACATTGAAAAACGCCTGACCAACAACCCTGGAGGACGTGTCATTGACTTTCCTCAGACAAGCTTTTAACCTGCAGGGAGAACAAAGGAATCAGTCAAATGCAAAATGAGACACAGCTTGATTTGCAAGAAAACAAATCAAAGGTGCAGCTGCTGAATTTGAATGACAAAAACATGGACACAAACTGTTGGCATATATAGATATTTGTAAGGTATTTACCAGAATTTATCAAGAAACACTGATTTTAGGTGACAGATCTGAAAGGCACAATTTAAAATACACTCCTGTCTTTATTTCTGAGGAGAAACTGCACATTCGAACAGTTAATATTGCAGCAAGATCTTTAATGAAGAGCTTTTGATGTGCCTGCTTCTTTATTGGGGGAAAACATAATTGTGAACTGGTCAGAACATTTTCCCAATAACCTTTCACATCTGTAAAAATGACTTCCAATTTCTGAATTTTGGCAGGATACCTTATTTACACAATTTGTAGAGAGAATGACCAAATGTCTGATTATCAACTTAAAGTCTATGAATTCAACATATTTCTATTCTGTTGCACAATCTAACATATCTTTTTATTGATTGTGTTGCCTCTTTAGAGGGCTAATCTACAGTGTCATCTTTTTTATGTAGTTTCTCATCATGTTTGTTACACTCTACACTTTATTTCTCCATTCACCTCCCATTATATTTAGTACACATCAAAACGCAGCTGCCTTTTTATCTCTCTCATACAAACTTAACAATCCTTCAGTGAATGGTAATCTGAGACATGCAAACGAAACCCATTTGTTCTTCATTTACACGAGACTTAACCTGACAATGCTTCAGCATGATGAAGTACTCACGTATTATCACAGTCACAGTGGCAGATGGAGTGCCACTTGAAGTTGGTGTGGCCGTACTTGGAGGAGAAGGCGTGGATGACATGAGGGCAGTGGTCGTGTGTGCGGCAGCAGCTGTCAGTGTCCGCAAAGTCTCCTGCAAACAGCAGCTCACTGTTATTAAACCTGGCACACACGCAGAAAACGCACAAATAACCGATTCATTTTCAACCTACCCAGCTGGTTATAGTTATCTGCCATGTTGCCGGCTCCACACCACAGAGTCCCGGGATAAGTGAAGCCCCTCTTGGATCTTTTTAAGACCTGCTCCTTCTCTGCTGCGCCGCTGCGCTCTCTGAGCTCCCGGCACATCAGCTTGGCTTCATCCATGCGCGCAAAACGCGTCTCCAGCTGCCGCCCGACTCTCTGCTCCTGCAGCCCCAACCTGCACTCCTGCACGAACGACTTCACCTGCATCTGGTTCACGATGACGGAGCAGTTGACGAGCTTCCCGGCGGGAGTGACCACGGAGCGCACCACCTCGGCTCCGTCCGACACCTGGTAGAGGAAATTCTCCCCCACGATGGACATTTTTGCGCACACGGTGCCATTCAGCATGGAGAACGTCTCTTTGCTCTCCTTCTCCGCGTCCAGAGCGCGGCTCAGGAAGTCGCCCTTTACGACGTTTCTGTCCAGATAAGACAGAAAGACAAAGAAGACCGACCACATGATGCGGCGAGTGGCACTTTCAGCACCACGCGTAACGGAGACAGCTCCTCGCGGTTTTCCGGCGCGCTCGAGCAGCCCTCCCACTTTTAAGGCGAAGCGCAAGTGGTGCGATTATTAATACGATGAATGGCAACGCTGGGAGGAGTCAGCAGGATTAACCTCTTTTGCCTGGACAGCGTATCTTTATCTTTTGTGCGCAGATATCAGCGACACTTGATTATCTCACTGAGGTGCGGAAACCTGCGGAAGGAGCGCAGAGGGTTAATCTGAGGGATGTGCAGAGCTTCAACCTGCAGCATCTTCCAATGCAAAGAGAGATGACCGCGAGTTACCTCCCCCACCATCAGCTCACCCCCCAGAAAGTGGAGATTTACTTTGGGAACACGCATGGAGGAGGATCTAGCGTGCCCCCGCTTCCCATGGTAACAAGCATGGGGTGATTGTGCCAACCCAGGAGATTGGACATCTTTCAAATGCCACAAAACAGCCACTGAATTGCTGATGACCTAAATCACAATGTAGGGACAAAACTCTTTCATTGAGGAATGTGGAGAAAGGTTGGCGCTGTCGCACGCAAACCGCACTGACTGACTGAAGGGCCTCAGACTCTGATTCAGACAAAACTCATTAAAATAATGGAGGGATCAGCTGACTGTTTGCCTTCCAGGTATCCAGAGCAGCTGGCAGGAGATACCTGTGAGATAAATGACTCCAAAATGAATGCTTCAAGTTGCTTTTAGTAGATGTAGCTGTTGGTTTTTACCTCTTTTTGTTGTGTAGTATTCAAGTACAACAGATTTCATCATGTTAAATGTGATAAAGTAGTTAATCGTGAACTGATTTTCCCCTAAAACATAGAGCAAATAGACAATAGGAAACCACACAGAGCAAATAATTTACGCTTTCTAGACACTTAACAGATTGTAAAATGACAAAGACAGCCATATTTTCTTTGTGCACTCTGTACTGATTTACCTTTTAGGTTTCCTGGTGAAACCCTGAACTATTCAGGTTTACGCACAATGAATGACTGCGATGTTTGATGAGTTTAAGTTTGAAAAAGAGAGACTATCAAGTATTTTTCTCAGAGTTCTCGCAATTTTACTTGTTTTGCTCATGAATTTTGTTGTTTACATGACGTCCATAAGCCTATTCATGTTGGGAATAGTATGTATTTAATCCTTAATACATCAGCAGCTGCTTTGTTTCAAGAAATCAGTGTAGAGCTGCGTCAAATATGTGACTCATTTTGACAGTTTCTCACTAAATACCCCTGTTTAAGATCGATGCCCACCTCAAAGACCTCTATCTGTGACTTTTCCTCGAAGAAAAAGAAAACCCTCTTGTCAGCTTGGGTTTCTAATCAGCCCAGTGTTTTGTCACATGGCTGGTCTTACTCTGAGAACCAGAGGCGGAGATCCAGCCTACTCAAGGCACTGAAATCGGATTGCTGGAAGGCGGAGAGAAATGATGTAAAATCACCAGAGGCAACATTCGACCAATTCTTGAGGAAGGAAAAAAAAAAAGAAAAAGAAGGTTCTCATGAATTGAATTGGTCACTGTAGGAGGGATTTGGGATATAAAAAAAAGAGAGAGAGAGAGAGAGAGAGAGACAGAGAGACTAATAATCCTGCTGTTCACTTTGTGTCCATGTGGAGTCAACTAACACCACACGGTGGAGCAGAAAGCTGACACTGGTGTTGTATTGATTCCTGCTGAGTAAGACTCCTTTGATTTCTTCTCACCCACAGACTGGTCAGCTGCAGAACAGCGCCCCCTGGAGGAGCTGGGGGATACCTGCAGAGAGCAACATGATTCCTGCAAAGATAAGAGCCAACATCTCTTCAGAGATCAGTCATTATTTATAGATTTTTTTTTGTTTTCAAGCATGTCTCTCAAAGAGTTTCTGACTTTTAAAAGCTGATTCTGCATTACCAGTCAGACATGCTGGTATCTGCTCACATTTGATGCTTTGTAAATATTCTAATCATGCATGAAAGCATGGGGGCATTTCAGAGCAACCAGAAAGTCATTTGGTTCAAGATGCACATAAAACTGTGGGAAAGTCGAGTTACTGTTGGCACAAAGTTGAACACTCAGTCTGGAGCTCAGCTTGAACTCTGTTGCTCAAAACTGGGATGAAATTCCAGATATCAGTTTATTTCACAACCGTTCCAGTCGGACTACTGGGAAATGTGCTGTGATGGAGAGTCGTGTTTCTCCTGCAGTGAATGTGATCCCAACCTGAGCTTATTCAGACACCGACCCTCTGGTGACAGCAGCTCCGAGCAGCATTTATGATAACAGCCTGAGGCAGGCATGAGAGATGGATTAACATTTTTATAGGATCTTTAGTCATACTTCGTTCAGCCCAGAGTCGTTACTCAATTATCATCCAGTAACTGCAGCGTTAGGTGCTCCATCTGAACTTATAACAGAAATAATACATCTTAAATCTTTGTTGAGAAATTCAGATACACTGATTTGTCAGCAGTGTGTAAAAATGACCATCAATCAGATATCAAAGGGCCCATATGGTTAAAATGGTTTTTTATTGTGTTATGTAGTTGTTGTAAACTTGGAGGCATAAAGTAAAAGCTGCTAAGATATGAAAACATTTATTGTTGCCGTTCCTCAAGACCCTTCAGCATTAGATATCCTTCCAGCTCTACAAACCAGTAAGAACTCAGCTGCTTCGTTTCAAGGGCTGCAAGGTGAGGACACCCGTGTGTGGAGTTTGCATGTTCTCCCCATGCAGCATGGGTTCTCTCTGGGTTCTCCGGCTCCCACACAGTCCAAAAACATTTTGAGGTTAATTGGTGATTCCAAAATTGTCCGTAGGTGTGAATGTGTCTGTCTCCCTGCAATAGACTGGCGACTGGTGTTCCCTGCCTTCGCCCTAAGTCAGCTGGGATAGGCTCCAGCCCAGGGATGCTGAACTCTGGTCCTCGAGGGCCGCAATCCTGCATGTTTTAGATGTTTCCCTCTTCCAACACACCTGATTCAAATGATCAGCTCATTATCAAGCTCCACAGAAACCTGATAACGATCCTGATCATTTGAATCAGGTGTGTTGGAAGAGAGAAACATCTAAAACTTGCAGGACTGCGGCCCTTGAGGACCAGGATTGGACACCCCTGTTCCAGCCCCTCTATGACCGTAGTGAGGATTAAGCATATAAGTAATGGATGGATGGATGCTTCGTTTCAACTGAGGAACCAATAGTCTCAGACTTTGTACAAGCCTGCCTCTTCACTGCCTGCTGCTTCCAGGTGAAATATTCAGAAAGTGCACAGTCCAGACCAGGTTTATGTACTTTCTAGAGCTGCTTCTCCTAGCTCTAAAACAGGGGTGTCCAATCCTGGTCCTCGAGGGCCACAATCCTGCATGTTTTAGATTCAAATGATCAGCTCATTATCAAGCTCCACAGAAACCTGATAATGATCCTGATCATTTGAATCAGGTGTGTTGGAAGAGGGAAACATCTAAAACATGCAGGATTGCGGCCCTCGAGGACCAGGATTGGACACCCCTGCTCTAAAATGTCTCAGCTACAAGCAAAGCAAATCCAATGTTCTGCTGTTGGCTGCAAGAGTGAACACAAGACTCTTCATGCACTGCCATCATCTGAAGAACTGAAGACCCAGTGGATTACTTTTGTCATTGATGGTATTGTCACCACAAAAATAGGAATATTGTATGCTGCTGCTAGTGTGGCTAATGTTACTATTAGCGTTGATCATATGGCCGCAGGTCAGAGTTCTGTGGAAATTATAAGACAGATATGAAAAAAACTACAAGTTCTTTATATTTAATGTGCAGGCAAGTGTTTTGCTCTTGTTGTCAGTAGTTTATTAGATTTAATGTAGCCACGGTATAAAAAGCAACATTAAGAAAGCTGGAACTTCAACAAGTAAAGTCGTCTTTCACATATTATGTCTGTTTTATCTTTAAAATGAAAATAACTGCATTCCTTTCAATAGATCTGCTGTTTGACCTGTACTATCATGCAGCAATAATGTCTGTGACAGTCTCCTCCTGAAGGTTCAGTCTCTGCATGCTATTTCTTTATACTTTGTTGAAGTTCATTTTAAGAGTGTTGCTGCAATACATCAAATGAGTTAAAGCACTTTGTCCTGCCTTGCAAAATATACGGAAGTGATGTTAAGTGTGCAGCATTTAAATGAGCTAAAAGTTGGGTTTTTTTGGCCCCAAACCTATAAACACAAACATAAAGCATGTAGGTGCTGGATGCAACAAAACAGCAATTTTCTTGGTACCAAATGTATTATCTAAGCAGTAGCTCGATGAGGCTGATACTTGATTTTGAATGAGGAATCCTGCAACAAGTGCAGGGAGAATGTGCAGTTAGGTTCAGGGTTATTAACAGCCCCCTCCCACCCACCATTCAACCCGCTGGAACCTGAGAGGGGCGATTCTCTCATTCACAGCCCAGCTCGCCCCTCGACAGCACAGACAAGTGTTGTTCTTCAAATGGACGTATCGACCCTTCCTGAAGACAGGCGTAAAGGATGGTACCTTTCTCTGATGGCCCCCAACATAAAAGGACCAGCTTTCGCCTGGTTGGACCCGTCCAGGCTCTACTGCAGCTCCCAGGTTTGATGAGAGGCAAAGGAATGATTTCCAGCAGGCTCTTGATACTGTTTCTGCTGTCTTCCTTCTCACTGAACAGTATAAACCTGATTGATAACTGCACACTTTTACATGTGGTGTGTTTTGTTGTCATGTACACACTTTGCGTTTTGTGCATTCACCCTGTTGGCACTCGATCCAGGCTCTTGCAGACTGCGTCAAAGACCTCCTCGGTCCGTTTCACAGTGACACCATTGACCTGGTTGCTGGGATAGATGCAATGGGATTCATTCTTGGTAAGAAAACAAACCAGTTCATCTTGAGAGGGAAAATAAACCCAGAGCTGAGAGCTTTCACACTTTTAACTCATTTATTTTCAGAGGTTGTTTCAATGCCTGTACGTGGGTCAGGAAACCTGATCCCTCAGGCAAAGATACTAAATTTAGATATTTTGACCCCCCTGATGTGCTCTCACACGTGGCATGACAATGTTTTCACGTGAATTTTTTGGATTGTGTTTTTCAGGCGCGTCCGTTGCCACCATGCTTGGAAAAGGTTTCCTGGCTATTCGCAAAGCGGGTCACCTGTGTGTCGCGACCCAAACCCAAAACTACACCGACTACACGGGCCGAGATAAGACGATGGAAGTAAGACTGGATGTACTAAAACCAGGTCAATCTTCTTCTTTTTTTTTTTTTTTTTTAATTTTAACCAAGTTATATAAGTTCTTTGCGAGGAAGAATGTTTAGACAGCTGTGGGTCGTCAGGCTCAAAAGACAAAGAAAATTGCATTTGATTTCCAGACGGACTTTACTTGTAGTTTTTGAAAATATTGAGGCTTTTAATTGGATCATTTCCATTGAAATAAAATACATCAAAACTCTGAACTCAAACTCTGTAGTCTGAGTTTAATCAGCTGAAAAAGTTTGAATCTATATAAAAATGTAAATATTGTGTTGGTATAATGTAATATAATATTATAGTATATATATTATTAATGAACTTTATGCCAAAGAGATCCAACCCTGAACAAAGTACAAATTTCCTCAACTTCATGTCCATTTCTGGTTGTAACACAGCGCCACCTGGTGTCTGTTGAAGCAAATTACATCCGAGACAAACCAAAACGGCAACAAGTGCAAGCTACCTGCGGGTTTCATAAAAACCATCCATCCATCCATTATCTATACACCGCTTAATCCTCACTAGGGTCGCGGGGGGCTGGAGTCTATCCCAGCTGACTTAGGGCGAAGGGAGGGGACACCCTGGACAGGTCACCAGTTTTATTAAAACCTGTTTTTAAAAATTAAGTGCAATGCAGTATTTATAAAGTGCCAATTTGCAACATAAGCAACTTTGCATAGTAAAGTCAAGACCTTAAAGTATTATATTATATTATATTATATTGTAACCTCCGGCAGAACCAGGCTCAGGGAGGGCAGACCAGTGTGTGTGAGGGTTAAGAAGAGAGACCAAAGGGTAGCAGGTAGAATCCAATAATGCATAAGACAACAGTAAACCAAGGACCACACATAAGGACAACAACTATTTCATCTTGTTTGCTAGTTTCTCTCCAGCAGCTACATGCACACAGATGCATGATTTTGCAGGTTGTAGTGGACCTGGATGAAGATCCCTAATGCAGCTCGCAAAGTGTCTGCTCCAGATGGCTAATTTCTGTGTTTCCTTTTAGTCAGACTTGACAACCAACATTGAAAATACTTAATGTAAAATATCATCAACACTGTTTTGTGTGACTCCTTGTAACTGTACAACAGAGACAGAGAGCACAAAGTTTAAAATTCTGTTCATTTTTTTTTCATCTGCTTTTGTGAAATAATGTGAACACAAATGAATAAAAGACTGTACTGGATGTCAGTAGTCAACACGTGTGTCCTGCTGCAGGTATGCATGTGTTGCTAGTGGACCAGTGGGTAGAAACTGGAGGCACCATGAAAGCTGCCATCCAGCTGGTGGAGCAGCTGGGAGCCACAGTCGTAGGTCAGTAAACACGGCAACACTATTAGAACGTAACTGTGACGAAGCAGAGCATTTCAGTGGGAATCTGTCGCTGTGTTCGCTGCAGGTGTGGCAGCTGTGGCCATCGAGAACACCGAAGGAGGAAGGTGGATTAAAGACAATTACAAATTCTCTCACTGCATCCCGGAAGAGCTGCAGAGCCAAGTCGATGGGAAATATCTCGACTCCTTCAAAATCTTTAACAACTGAACAAGTAACCATGGTTCCTTAAAGTTCAGTGAAGAAGAGAAATAGTGACGTTTTATAAAACTTAAGATGATGCCTTGTTTTCTAGAATTACAGTTAAATCATTGTTTAACTAACCTTTTAATCTTTAATATGGTTGTAATAATTGAAACACGTGATTTATGATGATTTATTTTCTTTTTTTTAATATCTTTGTAAAATGTACCATTAGAAAAATTTTAAACACAATAAAAGCTAAATGCACACTACTTCAGTTTTGATATGAAAATGATCAATTTCAGTCATTGATTTGATTGAAAACATCAACTAAAAAGAAACCTATAAAGCATCTATATTACAAATGGGGTTCAGGAACCCCACATGGGTCAAAAGATGAATCTGAAAGACAGAGAGATGATGAACAAGACAGAAAATCCTGAAAAAAAAACAAAAAAAAAACATCTTACAGTAATTTTTCCAAAATTCTCTCCTCATCTTTAAGTGCTCCCAAATATCTCTGCTTACAGCTTGTAGATAATTAGCGGTTAACTGTAAATACTGCTTCAAATGAAGACGACAAAAAATGTTGGACTTCTGACATACAATAGTAAGAGAAAAGCAAAGTACCAAGTAAAACAGTCATTTAACACAAACTGTATATTAATATAAGGAAAAAAATCTTGATTGTAAAACAAATTACAGCAGCAGAACTGAAGATTTAATTCAAGCCCCCAAAGTAAAGTAAGAATCTGCAGTCATTCTTTGGCTCCTCGCCAGCACCAGTCATTCAGTGTGTAATTCCTGCGTCGTTCTTTAACTCCAGACAAGTTAAACTGAGCAACGCCACAAGAATCTGTACACATCCCACGGAGGAAAAGTGTTTCTAGGCCAGGAAAAACTGAATTTAAAAGATGTGCCCTCCCTCCTCTTGCTCCTCCGACCACAGAAATCCTTCCCTCTGGGCTGGACAGCAGCCACGGCCATTTTCCGCTGAGAAAAATCCTCATTTTGAGTCCGTAAACTGCTGCTACCATCCTTACTGACAGCAGCTGGGCTGTTTCTTCTTAGACGCCGCGTACACGTTGTTTGAATTGCTGTTAATTCCTGAAAGACAACCACATCTACCCGTTAAACTCCTCAACAAATACGACTGTTCACATGTGAGAGGCAGTTCGGACACTCACTGACGACGTCTCCGATTTGCCTCGATCCACTTTTCTCCAACTCAGCGAGAACGTTGGTCTCAAACGCCAACGAAGCCACTCGAAAGAAGAACTCTTTCACGTTTTCACCTACAGGAGATACAGAACTTGTGTTTTAAGACACCAGTCACCCTTCATCTGTGATTCATAGATTGAAATGTTAATGGATCAGTCATTTTTACAAACATCAAGAGTGTACATGGTATTTCTCCAGATTACAGAAGTACATGTACACCACATTCTGCGAGTTCTAAAGTGTGACTGTCCGGCTGTGTGGAGGCTCTTTTTATTTATCACTCTGCTATTTTCATAAGAACCATTTAGTGTAATGTCTGTTTGTAATTTCACTGCATTTAAATCCAAACACTCACCTGTCAGCGATGAAACGGCCCAGTACTCTGCATGGATCTCTTTTGCTATTTTGAGGGCATCTTGTTCAATCTGGGAATACTGAGCAGGAGACTGAAAGACACGCCAGAAATTACAATCAAACATTAACGTGAAACATACTGAGGCTTAAACTCATGACTATTTTCATTACTGACTAATAGGACGAATATTTTCTTGCTTAACTGATAAACTGTTTGGTCATTAAAATCATAAAGATGGGAACTGAAGTGATCCAGAAGTCCAGCCTTGAAACTGCACATTTTATCCAACCAGCAACCCAAGACCCCAACAGAATCAATTATGTTTCACATTAGGTGAAGGAAAAACAGCAGATCTTCACTGTTTAGGAGGTGAAAGTTGGGGATTTGAGTTATTTTTGCTTGAAACATAACATCCAGCAGTATATGTTTTGTTTGTTGAGCAGCACAGAAACTAGGAAGACAAAATACTAATCCTCATCCCTGCAAGAGATCAGATGTGTACAAGAGAAATTAATTTTCTATATTAATTAATAGTTAGAAAAAAGGGCCAAAACAGATGCAGCAGAACCAGAAATCTCTTTTTTACATTCCATGTGTTTCTCTTCCTGAACTACATTACCCACAATTCAACCTGCACATTAAACACCTATAGTTTGGTTGGAGACTGATAAGCAGAACATAAATTACATCACAGTAACGAGGAATTTAAGTGGACTATAGCATCTGAAGCTGCAAAAATTAAGTCAATGATAAATTTGACTCTCAGTTTTAAGCACAAGAGTTAAACAAGTATCAGTTTAAGCTTCTCTAAACTAATTACTGGCTGCTTTTCTCTGTTTTAGATCACTGTAAACTGCAGATCCTTTACTGTCTTCGGGTCAGACTTAACAAGATGATGCAGCAAACACATTAGAACTAGAAAAAATCCATAACTATTCATTGTTGTCGCAGTAAAAATGAAAAGAGAAACATTTAAAGTAATTACTGACAACTTAAAATCAAAATGCAGCCCCAGTAACCACACTAGATTAAGTGCTGCAGCCTAAATATGGTTAGTAATGTCTGAAAAATGCCCCCATCTCCGTCACTTCCACCTCGATCATGAAAACTTTGGGGTTCAGTGAAGGAGGAGAAACATTCCTGAGGTTTGAGCCAGGACACAAGCGCTTTGTGCCGCTGGCATCGATCCAAACGGCTCACATCTGACTCCAGTAAAGACAACAGAAACGTCCGCAGGCATGTCCACTGTAAACAGTAAGAGACGTACACTCAGGTCTTTCTTTGTGCCCACCAGGAACAGCTGAACGCTGGTGGGGTCGTTCTCCTTCAAGGCGTCTTCGAGCCACTGCCTGCAGAAAGAAAAAGACGGCGTTAAATCCACCGGCTGGGACAAAAAAAACAACCATCCTATAATAAATGATCTTACCTTGTATGGCCCAAAGAGGCAACATCGTTTACATCAAACACGATAATCACGACTGGAAGAAAAGAAAATGTTGTTTTAGTGTGTGAGCAGCTGGACGCAGATTCTTGCTGCTGCTTTTCTTCCCCCTCCTGTGACATTTTGTGCCTTGTTAAACAGGTCGTAAATGGATGGAAAACACAACTCACCCTGGGCTCCTCTGTAGTACGTCGATGCAATACACTTGAACCTCTCTTGGCCTGCAGTGTCCCACCTGCAACGTGGAGAGAGATAAAGCAGTGAGCAACGCCATAGCAGGCGGACTTCATATGTATGAAAACGTCCAGATTAGACTCACAGCTGCAGGCTGAAGGGAACACCCAGCACCTCGAAGCGCTCCATCTCAAAGTCGACGCCGATTGTTGCTTTGTAGTTCTTATCGAAAGCATCCTTGCAAAATCTGAAACGACAAAAGACTGTGAGAGTTGTGTAGTAATCCCCTCGATGAAGGGCTCTGTTAGTAAAGGTTGGACTACAGGAGATCTGAATCTGATGACATGGTGTCAGATCAGAGATTATGAAGCCATTAATTCTTACCAAGACACATGACAGACCACAGGTTAGTCACCGACCAATCACAGCTTTCTGCTCTTCACAATCTGTGTGATACTGTTTGTAAATGTGGCAGCAATGCTCCGCTGATAATGCTCATGAAGGTTAACGTTTAGCTTAACAAAGTGATAGCTGGCTGCCGTTGTTAACGTTCAGCCTGTCAAAATATAAGCACTTTCTTTGCTTTCATAATTTCTTTTATACTAAAATACATTCATTTGATTGATTTCTTTGACTGAAGTGGCAAATCTGCTGTTAAGAACTGTAGGATTTCAGTGACACTGACACCAACTAGCAAAATTCTGGTGTTGTGGCACCTCTAATCCAGACGACTATTTTTGTGTCGATTATGATGCAGTTTGAACTCGATATCATGAACCTGAAAAGCTGCCTAATGTGTGGATCCAGCAGTTTTTAAAGTGTCAGACAGTATTTTAGCAAGTAGTTTATTATCACTAATTATAATTGTTATAAAGCATAACAAGTAGGGATGCACGATATATCGGCGACCACAACGGTATCGGCCGATGTTGGTGTTTTTTCCGATATATTGGTATTGGTCCAATGAACAGATTTAGCCGATGTGAACATTAACGCCTTCGTCTCTACAGCTGACATTGCTGCTATTTCACAGATGTTTTTACTTAAATGGTCCTGGACTTGAACGTTAAATATGTTAAAATATGTTTTACTTTTGTTCCGTAATAAAGAAGTCTGTGTGGTCTAATGTGGTATGGGCTTCTTTTGAATAGTTGTCACGTTCTCACAGTACTTACTCATGTTTTGGTGTGAACAAAAACTGAATATCGACATCGGCAATATCGGTTATATCAGAAATCTTAATATCAGATATCGGCATCGGCCAGAAATGTTAACATCGTGCATCACTAATAACAAGGATGTCATCTCTGGGAAAAGATGTTGCTTTTTAAAATGTTTTAAAAACTACTTTTAAAGCTTTTAGCATCATAAATGCATTCAACCAATGACCTGTATACTGTCATAGATGAGGAAATTTGAAGTCAGAACCGAAACCTTCTGCACAGTTAGATGTTTGTTTTCACTTTTTATATTTATGGACTTTATCTACAGAGAGATTGAACTGTTTATTACTGTGTTTTTTATACTATTATGTACTTTAATCCAAATCTGGATCCAGATGCAGATTCACCATGAGCAATAACATAACAGATGTAAAGGATTGAAGGAGATTCCTGCTCCCTGAGTTATTTATTTCCTCCTCGCCCTGCGTTCACACATTCACCCACTGTGTTGAGTTTACCTATTAATGAGGCAGGTTTTCCCCACCGCTAGATCCCCCACCACGATGACCTTCGAGATTTTAAACCTGCTGAGAATGAAAAGAGGAAGCAACAAGTGAGTAAGAGCGGTATGAACCCGAGCACATGCAGCCACCTCAGGTTAGTGTACTCGCCCCACAGTGCCGGTCCGCTGCTCCTGACAGGCCGTCTTCACTTTGTTGTTGAAATCGTCTTTAGTGTGAAGAGCTGCCTCTTTCCTGAAAGACTGGAGAGAGGAAGTGGGTTTTTAAAGGCTGTGAAATGTTTTTTTTTTAAAAAGACAAGCAGGTGACAGCGGTGGCCGGTGATACCTGAGGGAGCTGAGCGATGATTCGGTCCCTTCGAACAGGAGGAAGAACGCTCATGGCTGAGATTCTGACGGACATGAAGCCTCGAGGGGAAACGATCTGTGGGCAAAGATGAAGAGCAGAGAAACAAAACATTGAATTTCCCTTCTGGGATGAATAAAGTATTTTTCATTCATTCATTCATTCAGAGTCAACAATCTGCCTGTTAATGCTGTTGTTTCGTGATCTCTAGAGTTCAGAGCCTTTTTACAGGTTTTACAGTCCAACCATCAAACTTCACAAAGATAACGAATGAAACTTAAATAGAAATCCAACGTTGTGATAGAAATGAACATTTTCTGTTCGTCAGTTCATTAATTAGTGACTGTTTTGACACTTAATTATCTGTAAACTGAACATCTGAGTTTTGAATTAAACTTTCTTATCAAACGATCTGTGGGTTATTTTTTTACTAGTTATCAAAAAATTGCCATCGTGATTTTACTTCAAATGTTGTTTTATTTTACTAACAGTTCAAAACCTACAAGATATCAAGTTTATAAGCATATAAGAAGCGGCAAATCCTCCAGTTTCTCAGTTAAGGTCTAATACAATAGTGAAGTGATTGATCTCAATAAAACATTCAAAGATGTCAGCCGGGCTTTGGGAAATAGTGACCTGCATTTTCTGGTTTTCTTATTTACAAATGTACGATTGATTAATATGAAGTAAAACAGTTGTGCACTTAATTAAACATGAAAATAATGAATTAGCTGGCAATGCTTTGGTCCTTTTTGTTATGTTTACATATATAATGCATTATTATATAATTATATAATGTATAATTGTATTCAAACATAAAAAATGTTAATAGCATGATTGACTATCATATTATTTACACTCTTTTAAGTAAAATGACCAAAAAATGACCAGTTTAAATCCTCAAATGTGAATATTTGTTAACATATCTTTGAGTTTTAGCTTTTTGGAGGAAAAATAAACCAGGAAATGTGAAGATGCCACCTTGGATTGTGGGAAACAAGATCATGTTTCACTGTTTTCACAGATTGAGATGATTTTGCTGCTGCTGTCTAAACTTCTTGTGAGAGAATAACATCAAACTGACATCTATGTTTGCATAGAACCATTTTTCAGAGCTGAACTCATCCAGACATTGAGTATTTGGACTAAATGAGCTCACTTTCCCTTCCTGTTACATCACTGTTTCAGGTTTGATGGTGCCAGCCCACCAGAACATAGACGGTACCCATTAGTCTGCCTCCTGTCAGTCACAGCTTCCTACAAATAGACGGAGCCCGGCAGAGACCCAACACCGCTGTAATGAGACATAAAGTTTGTTCTCCTGTAATTAGTCGGAGCCAGACAACTGTAATCAGCTCTGACCCACTGACTGCGCGGATCTCATTTAATCCTATTGTTCATCAAAGCGCCGAAAACAAGAAAAAGAACAAGTAGCAGATTTAGTTTGGCACGACAGAAAACTGAAACCCAGAACGAGCTTAGATTCAACACCAAACCCGCATCAACAGAAGCGCTAAAGTCACTTCAGAAAGAGAAACCGCGGAGTTACACAAAGTAAAGTTAAACCGCAGCGTGTCTGATGTGTGGGGATACCTCAGCGGCTCACGGAGCTCCGGCCACGTCTCTCCTCTCTGCTGCCGTTTTATTCTTCCGACAAAAAACACGCTTCTTACTGTAAATGAAAGCGGCTCGGATCCATGTGAGAAACTGAGAGAAGCGCTGAGGTCTGTGGAGCTGGAGTCGATCCGCGGAAGTTGAGGGGAGCAGACTGCAGCTGCTGACTCAGTCCCCTGAAATGATCCTCCGTCCTCCCACAGACCGACCGGGTGTCGGTCCCTGCTGGAGGACCGGAGCAATGAGCAGGAATAACGGAGGAAAGCGGGGAAACACGAGGAACAACGGCTGTCCTGCAACTTTGTTATTAGCATCCTACCTCGTGAGTCACTTTAACCCACACAAACCTTACACTTGCATACATTAACTTTAGCTGCAACGTAACCGTTAGCTAGCAAATGCAGTTTTGAAAAAAAAAATGTTTTTGAAGCGGTTTAATTTTTGCCAATTACTTTTGAACCTATATACCTGGTACAAGTCACTGTTAGAGCGATTATAACTGTGTTATATTTAAATTTCAGACAAAAATAACACAGAAAAACCAAAAACTTAGCCTATATTATCAAGCTAGCTAGCTAGTGCTACAGCTAGCTAATATAGCATAACATTGTTAGCTTAACATAAAGTTTATATATAAAGTATATATATGGCTTTTTTACTTCCACATAATAGTCCAGGGTTTTTGTTTTATTTTGTTTTTTTGTTTTTTTTGTTCTTATGTGATTGTGTGTCATTAAATGATGATTATAATTTATCAGAAATCTTAACAGTTTAGAAAATCAGTGATGAGGGTTTCTTACTCCATATTAAGGGGGTGTTTTCCCTCAAAAGTTTTACTTACAAAGTAAAACACAAAGTTTAAACCAAAAACATATAATGTTTGTGTGATTCAAACTAACTGATAACCGTCCATAAGACTCCAGTGTCAATAGTCTGTGTGTATTTTTACTAAAACCACAAAGATTTATGTCGCACTGTCAAAATATTACATCAACGTACCACAGAACCGCTTCTGTTTTCGATTTTCTCAAACCACTAAAATGGTTTTAAATGCTATTTAAAGATTAACAAGGCCACTATCATCCAAGAAAAGACTTGAAATGTACTGTGTCCAGTTGATACAAAGGAAATATAGTGGTGGTATTTTTTTGCTTGTTTGTTTGTTTTTGTTTTTATTTTTTTTTATTATTATTTTTTTTTAGTATGGTTAACTCTAGTATTAATCTGTCAATCAATATATGAAAATGTCCAAAAAATGAATGATTATCCTGCTGAGGACTGGTTGTTTATCTTATTGTTCTTACACATTCATACTTATGTATTACACCATTTGTCTGCAATCAAAATAAAGCTTATTGATCATTCAGGGGAAAATATTGGCAAACTCATCTGCGAAACAACTTTTTTCAGCATGACTTCTCAATTTTACTGTTTCTACACAATATGAATCAGTGTTGCTTTCTTTATTTGTCCTTGTTTTTGTAGGAAAGGCAAAAAAACAAAAAAACAAAGCACCAAATCAAATACTTTTTTTGTTTTCTCTCTGTCAGTATAGTCATATGGACTGCAGATGGCGCCATAAGCCTTTTCTGATTGTCTGCCTGGTCAGCAACACAATAAATGTGTTGAGACGACTGTACTTGTCACATAAAGTACATTCAACATTTACTGTATGCCAACCTACATCAATTGGAGCACACTATATTTTCCTACAACTGTTAAAAAAGAAAAGAAAATTTAGGGTAAACCTCCTGAGCTCATTTTAAGAGTCTTTGCCAAAAATACTGAAAACTATATTTTGGTGACATAAATTCTTCAAATGCGCTGCAGGGTGGCGCAGTTGGTTAAGCACTGTTGCCTCGCAGCAAGAAGGTCGCCGGTTCGCGTCTCGGTGGGGGCACCAGAATCTTTCTGCGTGGAGTTTGCATGTTCTCCCCGTGCAGCGTGGGTTCTCTCCGGGTTCTCCAGCTTCCTCCCACGATTCCAAAAACATGTTGAGGTTAATTGGTGATTGCAAATTGTCCGTAGGTATGAATGTGAGTGTGCTTGGTTGTCTGTCTCTAAGTGTGGCCCTGTGATAGACTGGTGACCTTCACCCTTACTTGGCTGGGATAGACTCCCCGCGACCCTAGTGAGGATTAAGCGATGTATAGATAATGGATGGAATTCTTCAAAGATTTAATGTCACCCAAACATGCAGGAATATGATATTATTAGATTTTTTAAAAATGGTTTGGGACCAAATTAAAACTCAGTGTTTTTCTGCCTCTCGGCCTCCAGAAGCTCCTCCAGTCTCCTGGTTTTGATGTAGCAGTGAATAAACTGCTCCTTCAGGTGGTTGTTTTTGTCCTGAGAGGCATCCAAGACCTTTCTCAACCCAGTGTGGTTTGCTTGTCCCATTTTGTTAAGCAGCACGATGAGGACTGCTTACAAATGGTAGCGTAGTTCCTTTGGGCTGGACAACAGTCACAGAAGTAAAGCAGTAGGTTGTCGATACTGCAGTAGTCTGTGGTACGCTGTGGTTGTGTGTCGTACATCGCCTGAGGCTGCAGGTACTTGTGTGAAGCTGATACCAGTTCCTTTGATTGTCTTGAAGCTCACATGTGCCTTTAAAACGATTAATGTAAAAATCAGGTTTCATGGAACGCTGCGAGGAGTTTGCACTTCCATGTTTTTCTATACTTGATGCGATTCCTCGTTTCCTTGCAACTCAACAGCAGAGTTGGAGGGTGCAAAGTTAGCATGAAGCATCGTATTATTTTATTTATAGAGCACATTTAAAACAGCAAACATTCAGCCAATGTGAGGAATGAGGAAATAAGATTGACGTTCCAGTTTTGCCTGACAAGTTTAAATATGCAGGTTATGTCACTACAAGATTATATATAATACAAATTTAAATATGTTAGACTAAGACAACACAAGGTTATTTACTATACAAATTTACCTGACTAACTGAAAACAGGCTTAAGAACCTACAATATTAGATGTGATACCAATTTGCTCTGTTAAAAATAAGATACAAAGCTATACAACTGGGTGACCCTTATAAACTGGTGTAAATAATGAGGGACACATTCACTGACTTTTACCTTTTCCTTCGTATGTGTTTTCTTGTTGATGATGAAGCTGCTTATTTTCTTTTTGGAATATATTTTTACACAAAAAAAGAAAAAAAAAGGCAAATCTATACTTTAAACCAGTGGATTGTGAAAGTTTTTAGAGGTTCGAAGTTTTAAAAAAAAAACCCCAAATAAAGTCAAATTTCAGCTCTTTTGATTTTTCTTTCCTGTGAATATACAGATAATTCAAACTAACTCCATGTCAATCAGCTACAACTGCATTATTTTGTACTTTCACATTAGCAGCAATTAGCTTTTATCTTGTAATTGGATATAACTTTAGCAGATGGATGTGACTTCTAAAGCTGAGAAATAAACATCAACACTGTTGTTATTTTAAATACTTTCTTTATTCATCGTGTCACTCAACAATCCAAAATATGGTGCTCCTAAAAAACAGCCGTCACTTTAACACAAGATTCATTTTACATTATTGTGGTCATGGTCAAATCAATGTATTTTTTTTGGTCCCAGAACTCTTTGTATTCATATCATTCTGCAGCAAATCTATACTTTCCTATTCAGACATTATAATTCCTTTGAAAAGGCACCGTGGTAAAGGCACAGGTCAGACACACCTAAACTCTGTCCATGTCTGTTTGGACTTTCTTGGCATCGGCTGAAATACAAAATGAAATGTTCTGATCATCAGATTTTTACACGTCAGTGTCAGCACTTCTGATTCATGGCAAAGTTAGAAAATTAGCATTTAAAGTCCAATAATGGCCATCAGTTGTGTGTACTTCCTTTAAAATATATCAAAAATGAATGCACACTGGAGGACATTATGTAGAAGATGCTGTATTTCCACTCTGAGGGAAAAGGAGGAAGAGAAAACACATTTTTATTTAATTCAACCTCTTCAAAAAAATTGATCTTTTTTGAAAAAGTGTATTATTTTGCACACACTGCCTAACGAGTCATGATTGTGCTGCTACCTGTTAGATGGCAGGAAGATCCAGCTTCAGCTCAGCTTACGTCAAACGCCAACAGATTTCATAAGAACCACAAGAATGCCAAAAATGTTCCTGCATTGTTGTGTCACCACTTCAGTTGGTCCGCGACTACATATTGTTTTACCGGTTTCCTTCACAGTCCAGCATCTCGTCAGCCACAAGCGGCTTCATAGAGACAGAGGGAGAAGCGTACTGTATATACACATATTAGTAAAATCTGAATCCAAGGCCAGAAATTCAAAACTGGCGAGGAGAAAACGGATCAAGCTGTAATGGTCCCAATGGATAAAGGATGGTCCCCATGCAAATGTTAAACAATGAGGTTGTCATTCTACGAGAACAACCATGACCTGGATGACTGAGAATCTTCACAGACAATAAGGTTGTCAGCTCCAAATGTTAGCAAATGCTAAAAGAAATTTCCCATTTTAAAATTATGAGTCAAACTATTTACCAGATACTTTTTGATAAACAAAAGTGATGGTTTGTCGAACATTTGTCGGATTTTTTTTTTTGCCTTTTTGCCAACAGCTAAAGAAGACTGATAAGCTCCGTATGCTAAGTTACATTCATGTGGGACTAGCTTAGCGTTGCAACAACTCAAGATCATACAACTAACCTGACTCTGTCCAACAACAATAAAATCCACCTGCCAGCGCCTCTAAAGCTCACTCAGTAGCACACCATACAAAAAGTTAACGGTCACGTTTCTAACTTTGGGACAAAGCTAGCTAGCTCTTTCCAGCTGTTACATTTCATCTGGCTAAAATAAGGTAAACTGTTGCTTAAATATCAAAGTTCAGCGTTATGTATTAGTTTTTAGTGAGTTAAAGTAACAGATCATTAACACCACACATATTTGTGAGCTAAATATACGGCGGGCTGCAAGGTGGCGCAGTTGGTAGCACTGTTGCCTCGCAGCAAGAAGGTCGCCGGTTCGCGTCCCAGTGGGGAATCTTTCTGCGTGGAGTTTGCATGTTCTCCCCGTGCAGCTCTCCGGGTTCTCCGGCTTCCTCCCACAAGTCCAAAAACATGTTGAGGTTAATTGGTGATTCTAAATTGTCTGTGGGTGTGAATGTGAGTGTGCTTGGTTGTCTGTCTCTAAGTGTGGCCCTGCGATAGACTGGTGACCAAAGTCGGCTGGGATGGGCTCCAGCTCCCCATGACCCTAATGAGGATTAAGCGGTGTATAGATGATGGATGGATAAATATATAAATATACGGCTACAAATATTGGCTACAGTTGTCATCTACTGACACGAAGCACATTTCTTAAAATGTCGACCTATTCATTTTTAGGTAGTAACAACAAAAATTGTAAATATGCTAAATGTGGTAACATCCTGAGGCTTAATGGAATTTTGCTGTGGTTTCAATGTGTTTTTTCCCAGTAAAATTTCGAGCTGCAACAATTAATCGATCAGTCATTTTGTTGTCAGCTATTTCGCAAAACTATTTTGATAATCTATTAATAGGTTTGAGAAAAAGTCTTCCAGTCCAGCTTTTAAAATATCATATTTACATCATATTATAACAACATGTTCTGGTGTCTGTACACCTCTTTGACTGTAAACATAATATGTTTGGCTTATTGACAAAATGAAACTTTTGACAATGTCATTTTGGACTTTCAGAAACAAATTCACCATTCCCTTGCGTTTTAATAACCAAACAACTAATTGATTAATCGAAAAAAATTAAATTATTGACTAATACTACTAAATAATTGTTAGTTGCAGCCCCAGTAAAAAGTAAAATTTCTGACTTGCACCTGCAAAAGTGCGGTAGTTTCACCAAAGCTTATTATTTTGAGGATTTTTTTCTTTGGCAGTTTGACACAATAGGGGAGCCTGTTGTCATGAGGAATGATGTCAGTTACAATCTGAAACAGACAAAACGTGTAAACTCCCACCATGAATAAAGAAAACAGTATAGTCTCATGAACTCCCACCGGTCAATCAGTGAGAAACTTTTTGGAATTGTTGTTATGCGTCCCGTTCTGTCCTACGTATCTCTTCGTGTGGGAGAAGAAGTCAGTACGGAGCAGGCGGTAGAAGTAAATCAGGATCATAATATTCATCATCACCATGCTGATGAGGAAGTATGAACCGTGGTCCAGCCAGGAGTAGTTGTGGATGATGTACCAGGTGAGGTAAAACTGGGCGCTCAGGCGAAATGTGACGTAGGTAAGGAGGTTGGCGAACTTGTTGATGTAGTACGTGGAGGAGGACTGAGCGCCCGCCAGCTTCAGCATCAGCCTCAGGTGCAGGGTGACACTGTTGACCTCCACGAGCAGAGCCACTACCGCGCCGGCTACATACCGCTGAGTGAAGAGGGCGTACAGGAAAGCCATGATCACCTGAGGGGCGACACACACATACAGAAGTCACAGCTTTAATCCTGTGCTTATGTGCATTTGTTTGGATGAATTGTCATAGTTTAATAAAATTGCTTAATTTCAAAGTATGCCCCCCCAAAAAATCAAGTGTTTGCAACAACTACATTCTGAAAAAGTAAGTAATTCTGCGCTCCAGGACACTGCAGCTGAGACACCGGTAGTGGCTCAGCTTGGACTGAACTGCAGGCAGTGTTTATGCAGTGCAGCTGGGAGACAAGCATGGTAATTAATTCAAGATGTATGTACAGTGTGGAGAGCCATGATTTTAATCTAACCCTGGTATCAGAAGTGGGCACGTGGGAAAATGTTGCACATGCTGATTCCAAGTTTTTGAAAATAAAACTGGAAATTCTTTATTATTATTATTATTGTTATTATTATTATTATTATTATCCATTTATAAAACCTTGAGGCAACTTTCAAGGAACATTAAAGGGCACTAAAGGGTTAACGCTGCTCAACAAGACTCTCCTCAAGTAAGATGATTCTTAATTTAATAAGCTATATATATAGTGCACAGCTCAACTCAGGCTGTACAAACAGTCGGTGTTTCTCCTCAGGATTTGATTGTTTACTTGATACTTGATTAATATTTAAACAGTGTTCAGTTCAGTGTCATATCTAAACAGCATTTACAACTAATAGTTAAGCCTTGATTAGCAACACAGAACATTTAGCAGGATGAGAGTTTGGCAATATTTAACTGTCGCTTTGGGTAACAGTATTTATTTTCTACCGTACTGGCTGACATTTAAAAAGACACTTTGACATACATTTGAAATACACATTGGTTGAAACCGGTTACCTGAGCAGATCAACTTGATTACCTCACTTCTGTAGATTAACATAGTGACACATATATGTCACGTGAACAAGAAACGCAAAACGAAACTAGGCCACAGGCATGCCGTCTCACCAGTGCATGATGAAGTAAGAATTCCCATGATCCTCTTGCATGTCCTGTCAGGATAATGTCACCTGCATCTTGCACAAAGTAGCCTGAGGGGGGGAAAAAAAGGAGAAGTGGGAGTGCTGCAGGTTACGTCAAGCTAAATAACAATTTAAACAGTGCCAGTGTTGATAGAAAAGCGCATATCAAGTAGCTGCTGCTCAGATGTTCATATTCCGGCTGGGAAAGGTCATCTATAGTCTTCTGATTGGAGTAGATCAAAGCCAGGCTAGATTTTTTATTTGATGTCATCCTGATATCTGCTCTAAATAAAGTCATTGAGGAGGAACCTGCAGTCCTCTGTTTGGGAACTAAACGTACTAATCTTGAAGACAAGGACTGACATTGACCGTCTTGTTCCAGTGCCAATGTTCTGCTGGGAAAATTGAGCTCCTCAAGGTTTCTTTGATATATGTACCACACAGACTAAATACATTTCCCAACACCAGTGGCTTCCCCCAACATGTGCCCTGCCACATCACAAGAACAGGTCAGGAGTGGCTCGAGGAGCACGATAAAGAGTTCAAAGTGTTGATCCAAACTCCTCAAAATGAAAGATGATCGAGCATCAGCGCAATGCATCAGAACAAGCCTGATCCATAGAGGCCCCAACCCGCAACCCATAAGGATCCACTGTCCGCCACTACAGGACACCTCCAAAGGTTCCATGCCTCGATGAGCTGTTTTGGTGCTACACAATATCAGGCAGGTGGTGTTAGTGATGTAGCTGTATAGCAGATGGATGTATAAAAGACTTCATTAAACTATTTTTATTATCAATACTGAATGTTCACGTCACTCCACAACATCTAGACAGCAGGTGACTGACGATTTATGTTATTTGTCAGACTGCTGCTGTTCACCCTCCACTGCGACTGGCACGTTTGTTCATCTCACACTGTTTTTTGCACGTTGCTGCACCTACATGAACCAAACATGTTAGCAGAAGTATTTCCTGACGTGATTAAGCTCCTCCATTGTTGTGAATTAAGCTAGTGTGACTTGACAACCTGATAAATGTGTGGTTTTCCATCACAGCAAATGTGTTGTTTTAACGTGTCACCTCACTGCACCACACAAATGGATGCAAAGTCAAGCAATTAATCAGAGACTTCCAGAGAAAACACGAGGGTAATTGTTCCCAACAGGAAAAGCTTGTTTTGTCTTAAAATGAAACAGCTCTCAAATTCACAGGTACTTTGTGTTAGCTGATGTTTGCATCAGTGTAGGATTACCACAAGGCTGTGTAAACAACATGTAAGGATTAAGACTGAACTGAAGTCTTTGAATGCTGCAGGGTCCTTTCAAACTTTTTTGCATGCATTTCCACAAAAGTCCCAAATAGCCCATGAAATAAGAAATAATAATCCAGCATTATTCATTTTGCATCAGTGTTCATTAGTTTTTCTCAAACAAAGACTGTTAATCTTCGTCACGGTACTTATAGAATGTTACCAGCACATGGGACCACTAGACAGTGTCCTCAATGAAGGCTGTGATTTGGAATGACTAAAAATTTGCAAAAGAATCCCTCCAAACAAGTTGAGTGATTTTACAAATAGGCCTGGGTGATAAAGCGATACCCTATGAAAAATTGTTAGAATGTTCGATAGTTTCACTGAGATGCATCAAACCACCATGAGAAAGATCAACGCAAAGTTTGGTTGCGCAAACAAGCCCCAAGCATGCTGCCTACTTGGATACTGACAGCCTGTCATATTCCTGGATAATGAAGCCCTTTTGTGTTAGGTCGATTTTCGAGCAGCTTACATGGAGGTCTCCCGAGGCATGCTAGTCTGACTTTCCCTAGGGGGGCTACAGCCAGTGGGGAGCGGTGGTTGCCCATGTTACACAGGCTTTGCAGTCTAACAAAACCCACAACCACGCGTCTCTTCATCTGAGGGACACACTTCCACTGGCCTGCTTCGATGTTGGGGCGCTGCAGGGACCCTGTCTGGGGATACGCAGTCCAGGCCATCCACTCTGAACTTCAACCTCAGAGCGACAGCTTCCCATGTATACATGTGTGCCTTCATAAGCAGGTTGAAGTGGTTACATTCTAAGTAAACCTTTTTTCTGCTGGTCTTTGTTAAAAGATTAAACAGTTTGTTGAGATTAACTTTTCAGCTAAATCGCCCAGTCAGTCACAAATCTACTGTGAGTTTGGCTTATGATTTGAAGACTGAAAGTCACACCTTAGTTGTGCTGCAACCTGCATAAAAACAGTATATGGTTATTGGTAATCTGTTATGTTATTGTAGCACCTCCACCTCTGTTGAAGCTTTGTGGATAATTCTGACAGAAGAATTTGCTGAAAGGGGATTGTCAGGTTTGTTGGGCTTCTTTCTATATTATGTTATTGTAAGGTCTTGACCTATGTGAAGTGCCCACAATACATAAACAAAACTAAGTGTCTAAGCCTCAAAAATGATATTCATGACATCCTTGGGAATAATTTTTCTTTGTTTATGTTCTGTGTTCCTTCACCGTCTACTTCCAGCATGAACTGGAAGGTCAAATCTTTACAAGACAATGTTGAAATGTGTTAAGCCACAATGCACTATTTCTCTTTTACAACTTCAGCCAGAGACACAGAGACGTGTTTGTTGAATTCATCTGACAGCAGAGTTAAATATGCCTCAACAATTGTCAGCATGACCGGTGGTTATTAAACTGTGTCAGCCTCATTCAGCCGGAGGTATTCCACTGACTAAGAGTCCTTTTGTGCCTCGGCTGGTGAGACACACACAACCAATCCCCGTGTTAAAGAACACGACCTCCAGGATCTGGCGTGGCCTCAGTGGAGCTTATGATTGTTTTCAGTTGTTAGGGCAGATCTCCACAGATTTGTGTCTTCATAGTAACACAAAGACGCACATAAGACCAAACCAGAGCTCTAACAGACCACTGAGTCTTCAGAGACATTGTTTGGGTGCCCATGGTGATCCAGGGGAGCCGCCCATCCATCTGCTCTGAGAACCAGGTGAGAGGGGAGGATCTTTTGGTGCTTTCTCCAGCAACTGGAGCATTGGCAGTTTCACGCCCTCCGGGTAAAAGGAGGAGTAGGAGGAGATTTTGTTAAATGCAAGGATGGGAAAAAAAACTATTTGTCAATCAACACCTCCTCCAACACCTCCTCCCCCATCCACAAATAGACTGACAGACTATTCACCTGCTACTTTAGTAATATTTGACAAACTATTACACCTTGAAACAATCGACATTTACTGATTTCAGTTTCTCAAACATGAAGATTTGATGCTTTTCTTTCTATATATTTGAGTTTTGGACGGTTAGTTAGACAAACTGACACAAAGCTCTGCTGTGAGAAACTATAAACATGACTTTCTGACATTTAAAAACAAAATTCATCAGTCGGTCACAGAAACAACTGGCAGATTACATACATAAATACATCCACTGGTTTGACTGAAACATTCAAAACGTTTCCACGTGCTTTCACTTGTTACCCTCAAGCGTCATTCCTTTCCACGATGCGTTTACTGACCTGTGGAGACGCAGACCAGCAGGTAGGACGAAGGGCAGTGGTAAGAGTAGAGGTTTGTCAACGTCTCCGGCCAAACCACTGCGCTGGAGAGGGATACATGTTATGGATAGACGGCTCTGTATTCACCTGTCAGACAAACATGGGCTCACTCCTGAAGAGAAAGGCCAGACTAAGCAGACATTAACATCATGGCTTTTGTTTTTTTGTTTTTTTACCCCCCTGAACAAAAATGCTTCATGTTTTTCATTTGTCACCTGTGAGTTTCTACTTGTTTCTGCTTTTGTGTTCTTCCCTGAGAGACACACCTAAAATAAGCAAAGATTTCTTTGAGTTCCCTCCTTGTATAAACAAACCATGACAACATTCTTGATAATAAACCACCTGAAGTGCTTGTATAACATGTATAGAAACTGATGAAAACCTGATTTTGGCAGTGAGAACAAGTCAGTGAATTTCATGCTGTCTCATATCTACTACAAGCATTACCACACAGCTTTAAAGTTCGACCTTGGTCCCACTTCTTAGAAGATGACTCATGAGCACAGTCCCACCTCGAAAGACTAGTTTCTCAAAAAGCTTTCAAAGGAGTCCTTAACCCAGCAGGTTTTTCCAGTTGATATATCTGCAGTCTGTCGCCTGCCTCAGTGACCCAGACTGCTGGCTGAGGCTGCAAACTTCTGCATAAATTCAACAGCTCCAACAGCAATGAGAGCTTTGTGTTGCTCATGCTGTACAGTGGCATTTTTTCCCCCTCCCCACTTAAAAATGCCATTGTCTCCCCCGTCCCCTCGCCCTTGTCTGAACATGCCCTTCTTCTTCTCCTGACTGCCACAGGCTGTCACTGCTGCACACTACACATCATGTGAACTGAATAGACAATGGTGTCGCAGTGTGGATGGACGGGCAGGCAGATGTGTACACTTGGATAAGGTGGCGGGGGGAGGGGGACTTACCAGATCAAGGTCCAGGTCCCGGTCAGCAAGGAGTGCACCATGGAGATGGAGAGGTTCTTCCACTTCCAGAAGCGGAACTCATCCTGCCTCACCACTTTGGGGACCGGCAGCTTCTGCAGCAGCTGGTGGACCACCCTGAAGAGCAGGGAGAACACCAGCACTGAGGGGCCTGGGTGACTCTTCAGCAGGGCCTCCATCCTCTCCTCCCCACCCCCGTTTATCCTAGAGAGCTGCCCCTCTGTCCACTTCCCCTCTTGTGGCTTTTTTACGCCCCTGGCAGCGCCCGGTGTTGGACTGATGCGTGCTGTATGTGATGGAACTGTTGGCCAGGAAGATGCAGGAGATGATCCACTGTTTGTTTTTGTTGTCAGATGTCCACTGAGCTGATGTCGGACTGACCTTTTTTTTTTCTTCTTCTTCTTCTTCTTCTTCTTCTCACGTTTTCAGCGTCCTGCGCCTGGAGAAGAGGGCTCTGAGGGGATTCCCGTAACGGCTCATTCCAGTGCGACGGTGTTTGTGTTCGAGTGGTGCCGCTCTCAGCCCGCCTGTATGTACAGAATGACGGGGGAGTGTCGGAGAAGGAGCGGGGTGGGTGGTGCCGCTGTTGCTGCTGCTGCTGCCCCCCCCAAACCACAGAAACAAGGAGGGGCAGCGACTACGATCAAGTTACGCAATGAACAAAATCACAGAGCAGAGCTGCTGGAATGGGAATTTCGTGGAAGCTTGTAGAAGGACACATAAAAAGCTGTGAACAAGCTGTACAGGAACTTCTTGGTTGCGCAAGCAAGCGCTGCTCCTTCAGTGCGCAAATTACGCACCGTGCGTAAAAGTCTCCGATCTCTATTTAAATGATAAACAATAACGACAATAGCAGGTATTTCTTTATTAAACTTTTTTTTTTTGCTAGAAACCTGCGAATTAAACTAAACGTAGAAGCTGCTGACCACAAGTCGTTCAACTGAGCAAAATGCAAGACAAACTTTTTGAAAATCTTTTAAGTGGCTCATATTATATTATATTATATTATATTATATTATATTAAAATAATAATGCTAAATTTCTTGATACCAAACACTTTTTTTTAATGTCTGGAAGACTTTGGGCTTAGAAAGAATATGGCTCTTCATTTATTTTGTTCCAGACAACTTTCCCACCTGTAGATTCCTGCCTAAGTCAGTTTTAGTTTCTGTTTTATTTTCTATTTGCATGCTGGGTCCAGTTCAAAAACATGGTATAAATTCCTGCATAAAGAAACTCTGTTGCCTCCTGGAGGCAACAGGTAGCTCTGACAGCTACAGTACATCAATCTGGATCCTAAAATTTTGACCGTTTCTCGATAACATGTCTCAAACTGGGATTAAAAGGTCACCTTACTCATATTAGCATTCTTCAGTGTGCAGCTTAATGAAGTCACAGTATTGACAGAAAAGCTGGAAAAGATCATAAAGTGTGGTAACGCCATCAGATTATTAGTCATTGTCAAATTTACATTTTTGTTTGTTTTTGAGGCTTTAACTCTTTTGCTATACATGAGTCACATTGCGGTCATGTCTTATTCTGATACCCACATGCATTTACCTTTAGGAACAATACAACTGGAGCTTCATAATATGTGTGTAAAGTTCCCATTGTCAGGATTCTGTTTGTGTAAATTAGCAGCGATGTGCACAGCCAGTGCTGTGACTGTAAATGCACATATGGTTATAAACATGCACATCTCCGACATTTTTGCAGCATAACAATATAAATCCTGTAGGTTAAACAGGAACGTCCGGCCATAACTCTTTCCATAAACACAGCACAGCTCTCTCACCCCCCACATCTGGCCCCTCTGCAGTCTGGTGGGAGAAAAGGAAGTGAGCGACCTCAGCTACGACCCTTCACAGTCACACAAGGTACCACCAGTGCAACATTAACCCACACACCAGGAGATTATCTCTACTCACCAGCTCAAAGGTTGCCGCTCCATTCACAGCTGATGTGTTTGTTTAATCATCTGTAAATTCCCTTCGGATCATTCTGTAGTCATGCATTTGAAATGAAATATCTTCTGCTCATATGCTGCTGTCTCATTGCAACAAAAGACATTTTCTAAATAAATACGTCGTTATATACAGCTAAAAGTAGAATGTTGTTGCTAAAGTAATGCTCATAAGGTTGTTGTTGGCTCATATTCAATGTACTTCCACTGCAGCTTTAATTTTAAGTGGTAATGTGTCTTTTCTTAATTAATCCCATCATGAGTCATTGAGCAGAAGTTACAGACATGTTGTTGTGTGTCACCAAACCTCCTCATTCCTATTTTTTGCTCTTGCTTCTCATCTCTCTGCTTAATCTCCTTTATCAAATTAAGGCAAATATGCCCAAAGAAATGCTTGAAAAAAAAAAAAAGCCACAGTGTTGATACAGCATGACTCTGCCCCCTGCCTTCAGAAAAACAACCCCATAAACAGCAGATGTAGGCCACGGTATGAAAACACACCATGAGATGGCAGCAAAACTTCATGTGTAGAACAAACTTGAACTGTTCTTCAGCTCCCAGTTCTTCATCAGACCACCTGGGGGCTCCGCTTTCCAAAAAAAAAAGAAATCTCCAGGAAGACGACCTCTCCGGGGAGGAGGTTGTTGAGACATGCCAGAGAATTCCTTGTCATTAATAAAGCTGCTTAAATGATTCCATTAAAAAGGACAAATTCACTGGTTTGCAGTGAATGTGAGTAATGTGCGACGTCTTCCAGGATCAATCAAACGCTCCGTTCGTCTTTTGCAGATGTATGAGACTTGCATGAAAGATGAACCCTATAATTAATCTACTTATATCCACAGAGTGCAGGGCTCTCTGTAACAAAACACCCTGCAGTTAGAGCCAGAGATGCAACTTAATACTGCGGTTTCTGTTTCCTGGTCGCCTCACTGTGGAGCAGACTGAAAGCCTTTTGAGCTCATATTTTTTAAAATCACTAAAACATGTAATTTCTCACAGATTTCCAGCAGCAGATGCAAATGGTTTTATCAAGAAGTGGCTGCTGAGGTTTTGAGAAGATCTGCCAGTATCATGCAATCTGTTTGATTGTTGGGATCTTTGTATGTGGCTTAGAGCTGAAGCATATCGATCTCGGGTTGATTCTTTTCCCCCCCTTTCCCCTAAGGCCGGTAGAGGAACTGCTACTGAGGAGTCAGGGATAGAGAGAAAATCTGGAGGTTAATTGATTTCCAGTGAGTGCATCGTAAATAGCCAAACAAAAATAGGTTTGTCTTGATCGGGGAGAGATTCGGTTTCAGTGCCGGGCAGGAGAACAGCATTGAAGGTTTGAGAGAAGTTAATGTTCATAGTAGTTGTTCTTGGTGCTACAGTGAGAACTCTAACCATCCAGCAGTGAGGTCTAAAAGTCTGAGACATGATAATTCTATGTTGCTTTCTAAATTACAAACATTACAAATGACAGTAAAATGCACATACATTTAGAATACTGAAGGATCAGACGCTCCACAAGTCTGTGTAACCCCTTCATATTGCAGCATGAGCTGCCAATGATCCAAAGAGCTTCTTGTCACGTCAGGAATATTTGGTTTTCTAAGTCTCGTGACCGAAGAGATAAGTCCTTAATAATCAGCGCTCCTTTGGCCTTCGAGGCATGTTTGGGCTCATTGTTCTGCTGAAGTTTGAATCCTTCTGCACAAAGTTGCAAACCAGAGGGAGGAGCTCAACTCTGAAGACTGGAGTTGTTCTTCTCCCCGGTCAGGGTGAAGTCGATTCTCTGCAGGTGTCCGACTCCAGAGTAGCAAAACAGCATCAGACGGGAATATTCCCAACACCTTGTTTCACGGTGACTATAATACACTGCAGCATCATTCTCTCTCCAGTTCGTCTCCTTTCATACACCCTTCTGTGACTGCCACAAATCTCACACCTTGAATAATCCATAAATAAGACTCTTTTTCCGTCATCCAATGTGAAATGTTGGTATGTCTCAACCCACCCGGAGTGCTCGGCCTTATTTCCCCTCCTGAGAAGCTGCTTAGAGCCTCGACATCACTTCTAGACAGACTTTGTTTGACGGAACGTTTGCTGACGGGAGTCTTACCTTCTTTACTTAGCAAATTCTGTATCTGTGATGAAGCTGCTTTTCTATCTCCAACAACAAAAGAACAAAGTTTGGTGTATTGATCTTCTGACACTGCGTTCAGTCTTTGTCTACCTGATCGTGCTTTGGATGATCCAAAGTGTTTCGGAGTGGCCCCTTTAGACATTTACAGTCCAGCTGTGATTTGATGCTGAGAAAGCCCCTCTTTGCTCAGAATGCCAATTTAACTTCTGACACTTTCACTTACTTCTCATTCCCACTATGGCAGCGCTACTTAGTGAGTAATGTTCTGCTGAAAACTTGAAGCACAGTCGTATTTATAACGGAACAATGACTGCAAGTTGTTTTACATGAATAAGCATTTGATGAGTCAATTAAAACCACTTGAGTAAACACAGTCATGACTGTTGATCCAGAAATAGAGCAGAAATCATCAATGGTTTTTCTTCACTTCATAGGACAGAACAAATCTTAAGATTTTCTGATTATTTCCAAGTTTAGTTGAAAAAATCGCAATGTGGACTCAATTTTAGGCCATACTTTATCCACGTTTTTAGCATTATAATGATATTTTATAGTAAAATATATCTAGATACCTAGCTAACTGGTGAGGCAAGAAATAATATTTGTAAGGTGTTTTACATAAAACATCCATCCATCCATTATCTATACACCACTTAATCCTCACTAGGGTCATGGGAGGCTGGAGTCTATCCCAGCTGAGTCAGGGTAAAGGCAGGGGACACCCTGGACAGGTCGCCAGTCTATCACAGGGCTACACTTAGAGACAGACAACCAAGCACACTCACATTCACACCTACGGACAATTTAGAATCACCAATTAACCTCAACATGTTTTTGGACTGTGGGAGGAAGCCGGACAACCTGGAGAGAACCCACGCTGCACGAGGAGAACATGCAAAACCACGCAGAAAGATCCCAGTGCCCCCACCGGGACGCAAACCAGCGACCTTCTAGCTGCGAGGCAACAGTGCTAACCAACTGCGCCACCTTGCAGCCCCACATAAAACATATGCGAGCTATATACGTATAGTTAGACATCTTTTGTTACAATTATTTTTTAAAAAGCCATTAAAATGGGGGTTTCAACACTATTCCCCTTCTTTATCATCGTCATATTGCTTTTGACATAATAAATATTTTTTGCTTAAGTTCAGTTTTAGATGTTTGTTATAAATCAGCGCAAAGACAAAATACATTCTTCACAGCACACATGCTGACTTGTCAGCGTAGAAAAGGCTAATTTATACTTCCGCCTTCGCTCATTTCATTATGAACACCTGTGCCTTTCCTCCTGTGAAAGGTTGCGTCATGTGTGAACAGGGCAATCCGTGAAAGATAAAGATAAAGACATATGGCTCTGATAAAACAACCTCCCACAGCTTCCTGTCATGTGTCGTGAGAAATCTCCAGATTAGGTGCAGATAAAGCTCCGGAGCTGCAGGTTCATACCTGAGGCTCAGCAGCAGTTTCACTGTGCTGCTAGCTGCATTCCTGGACACTGACTGTCAGATCTGCTGCTGACAGAAGGCCAAATATGTCACTAAGCTGGTCTGAGGAGTGGTGTATACATTTCCAGACTCCTTTAGGTGCTCCTTTGGTGAGATATTATACCCCTGAGAAAGAGAAAACTATTGTTTGAGGAACCAGCTACTCACCCATCTCCCCTCCACCAAGCTTCATTTAAAAAAACTGCTAATTGTAGGGAAAGGTTCAATTACATGCAGATGACTGTTTGTGGTGATACATCATTATTTCCGATTGATGATGATAGTGGAGGTATGCGCTTCAGCACAACACAGAGCAGGCTTTGTCACAGCACAAAGCATTTATTATCCCCATCGTGGCAGAGAGGGGAAACAGCGCTCCTGCAGCCCCCATCCTGCTTATCTCAGACAAGGGGAAGGCGCTTCATAATCACCAGGTGTCTGGATGTAAGACTGCAGTATCTGAAGTCCAGGCTCAAGACGCTGCTCTAATCGCATCTGTCTCATGTCAGCGTTTCACTTTTCACTTCAGTTCACTTGTTTCCTGGCGCTGCCGTACAGCCAGATATCTCACAGAAGATATTTCTGACATGTCAGCACATAGAAAAGCTCAGAAAATTGACTGACATAAACTCAGTAATTTGGTTTGTAAACTAGAAATACAGAGTAGCTTGTCTGGAAACAGGCCACTACAAAAAGTAGGAGGACAGATCTAAAACTAGACTACTGAAACAATATTAGTATGACAACAACAAAACAAAACAAAACAAAACAACAAAACAAGATGCTCAGTATTGTTCAGCTTTCCTGGCTGCACAGCTCGACTCTACTTGAAATAACTGACATAAGAAATACAACATCTGCAGGTGCACATAAGCTGCCATTGATGAGTCAGATCATGAAAACAGATTAAAGAAAAGACAAGCACATGAAGAAAGCATTTGGTTTACTTCCTATCAGTGTAGCTGAACCTGTTGTTTGACTTTATTTGAATACTTTTAAAAGCTGAATGTATAAGGCTATAAGAAAATGTAAAGCTGTAGAGCAATTAAGGGACCTTCCGTCAAACTGGACCTTGCATGCTCATTTCCCACACTCTTGACTTGTGTAAATCTAGTTTAAGTAAAAACACTCTCTTCCAAACAATATGTTCATGTTTCTAACATGTGACCCATTTGCAAACACTGACGGCTTTTTATAGTTACTCAAATATGTTCCAAGTACATTTGTTTGTACCTAAACACACAGGCATTCAGACACATTAAATAGACATCTGGATTGTCTGCCCCTAAAAACTTTTACACATCAGACACTTCATTTATTACATTCTGGGGTACTTTTTGCACCTGTTTGTGCATTTTCTACATCTGTTCATCTTTAAAATCGCTTCAAACGCAAAATTCAGGCACAATGAGTATCCTGTCATATCTAAACATTATAGCAGTCTTTCTATAATTCAAGTAATTTGCTTTTTTTAATTTATTGTTAGGGAGGGACAGATAGTATTGTAAAATTTAGCATTGCAACAGCCTTGCTTGTCTTCTCTTGGCGAAACACACAGGGAAAATGAATGACAAAAATGCAGTATTTTAAATGTGACTTTTTTGTGTGCTTAATTTCCCCCTGAGACTGAAAATGTTTGTTAAACAGTGTCTGAAGAAAAGCTGTGTCTCCTTTTGCGTCTTTCTGGCTGCAGAGTTTCTGCTTCGCCTCTTTTGTCCCTCGGTGGCCGCCGTAGTTCTGGCCTTGGGTTGCCTGGAGACGGCGGAAGCGTTTGGGAGCAGCAGCGATGGAGAAGTATGAGAAAATCAAAGTTGTTGGAAGAGGAGCTTTCGGGTAAAGTCTGGGTTTAATAATACATTTTCCAGATGTTTTGAGCCACAAACATCGTTCTGTTTATGAAACGTCGCTTTCAGGGGTAAACTGAAAAAGTCAGAACTCCGTAAAAAGTATGTTTTTATCTCTAAAAGTAACGGGACGCGACGAAGCTCCGCCTAAAGAAGAAAAAGAGGACAGAGTGTCAGAAATAACGGAACATTGGACGTAGTTCGCAAAAAAAGTTATCTAAAAACATTTTCAGGTGAAATACGTGACAAAATACTGGTTTGTAAGCTGTAAACTAACCGCGCAGTTCACACTTTGTTTGGTGTTTGACTTTTCTAAAGTTTGTCTTTAGCTCGGCTAATTGTAAGATAACGTTAGTTTATCCGGTGACATTTTCCAATACAGTGAATTTCGTTGTTTGAATTTGATACAAATAAATAACTTGCTGGTATTGTGCTAAAAAGTGACTGTCTACTGAAAACTATTATCGCCCAGTTCATGTGCATTTACAGCTGCTTTAGTCTGAGTCAGACAGTCATGAGTAATGATCTTGAAGTTATCCTTATGTCTTTTTATTGTCTTATCTGTTCTGTGCCCCACTTATAACCAATCCAGTTCTTTTTTATAGGCTTAAATATCTTCAAGGAACTAATTCAACTTACAAAATTCAGTTTTCCACTTATCAAACCAGTGACTGCAGCCCCTACACTGTAACTGAAATGTTATTAATGCTTCAAAATGACTTGATTTGATTCACTGGTGTACTTTAAAGATGACAGTCATATGATTAAGAAAATAGAAATACTTTTAGTGCAAAGAACTACCTGCAAATTATGTTACTGAATATAAACAAGGATATGAGTTGCACCAAACATATATATACATTTTAAACTTTGGAACATTATTGTAGCATTGCCTTTAATCTGTTTTATTACACAATAAAGTACAAACATTTCTATGGACACAATTATAAAGATATGAAAAGCATATGTCTTTTTTGCTTTTACCTTTTGTGCTCTTACCACTGACAAAAAGTATATTTGCATATTAGGAGAGTTTTTTCCCCAATTAAAGCATCTGCAGACATTTAGGAAGTGGGCAGTCAGGTTTTGGGAACAATCGTATTTGGAACAAACTGGTTCCAACTGGTGAGAAGAAGTAGTAGTAGAAGAAGAAATCCTCAGATATTTTACTTAAATAAAAGTACCAGTACTTCAGTTGAAAAATACTCCACATAAGTAAGGATATTAGCAGAAAAATATATGTAAAAACACAGAGACAACAGAAAGGCACGGCTTCATAGTGTTATATATTTGTTTTAAAGGTGCATTTTAATTTTTTACCCAAATTTTATGACATACAGTATGTTTTTGTAAACCTTAGGAACAAGTGGTGACTACAAAAGGAGACAGAAGACATTTTAACTCACTTGTTTCAGAACACGGGAGTCTTTAATAACATTAATGGTGGCTCAGTTGTATTACATGTGTCCGCAAGATGTTTCAGTTAATGAGCATTCACAGTGTGACAGCCTCGGTTTTCCTGTTACAAAATGAAATGTGATGTAAGACTACAGAGAACAACAGACAATACTATGTAAATGATACTCTTAAGTAGTTTTGCAAATACTGGAGAGGTACAATAGGTGCACTATTATGTAACACAATATTGAGGAAAAACAGTGCAGACAACCTTGTTTCTATTGTGTATTGAAAGAGACACTTTTTAAACTTAATAATCCAACATAAAGTACAACGGAAATGTGCACAGTGCAGTCGTCCAGGAGCTGAACTGGACTTCGACTAGACCATAAGGTTATTCTCACGGCATGTCACATGGTTACTTTGAAGTTCTCTCTGTGTTTGTTGTTCATTACCATTACTTTACATGCTGAACATACAAGAGTATCATAAAATATTATGTTTCTCAGACATGTGCTTTAAAACAAATTTAAAACAGATTGTTTTTGTCTAAAAACAGTACTAAAAAGCAGTAACTCTGTCTTCCTCTACTTTATTATTGTTATGTCCTTGTGCTCTGTTTTCTACTGACTGATTAATTTTCACTTGACTCATAATGTTTTGGACTTCCACAGGAAAACACACACTACATTTCTCACACCTAATAAGCGAAGGCCCGTACATGTGTCGGCATGTTTTTTCTCATTTTATTCTGCACTAGAAAACTAGCAGTGTATGTAACAAAAACCATTAGTTCATAAATGTTCATGCAGCAGTAGTGCATCACTGTGAGAGCTGCATCTTTTCTACAATGTGTACCTTTTCTTTTTACACTTCATTTGCCTCAAAATGTACATACTGCCTGACTGTCAGTTACAACGCTGGTGCCAAAGCTCTTTAAGGTTCACATCACTGAATCTAAACTGCCACAAATCATCCTCCTATTCTTTATTCAAGGAAATATGTTCCTCATTTTTCTCCACTTTCCTCGCCTGTCAGGATCGTTCACCTTTGCCGCAGGCGCAGCGACGGGGCCTTTGTCATCCTGAAGGAGATCCCAGTGGAGCAGATGTCACGAGACGAACGTCTGGCGGCTCAAAACGAGTGTCAGGTGCTCAAACTGCTCAACCACCCAAATATCATAGAGTACTATGAGAACTTCCTGGAAGACAAGGCCCTCATGATAGCGATGGAATATGCACCAGGTAAGAGCCCTGCAAGATCTTATTACATAACCTCCTTTTGTTCATTGTACAGCAGATCACTTTTCTCATGGTTGAGTGCTGCAGGGCTCCATCATACCTTCCCACATTCCCATGTCAGGCCAGGAAGGACCACATGAAAACATCTAATATCTCAGTTTGTCAGAGGCAATGTAATTAAGTAACTATAATGAAAAAAATACAGATGCAAGCCTGAAATTGTGAGACTTGGCACTGTTGGCTGTTTATGCTGTTAGATTAAAGACAAAACATTTGCTGTTAAAGTTCTAGACTGTCTCTTCATTACATTTTCTCATCCTTTTGCTCGATTTATATTGATATTGGTTTCAATTCATTTCAATTCAATTCAAACAACTTTATTAATCCCACTTGCAAAAATGTATTTGAAGCATCTTGTAGGTTACACAATACACAACAAAGTATACACACCCACACATATGCATACAACTATACATACATATACATACACACTTACATACCCGTACACATCATAATAAATAAAATCCAGTCTTGCATGGCTGCCTATGAAGGTTGGATTTATGCACCAGTGTTGTGGTTTTAAAAACTTTTGAAGATTTATTTCCTCATTGCTTTGTTTTATTATCTTGTCATTGTCATGTTGTGTTTGCATCCTCCTCCTATTGTTACAGTAATTTGGCATTGTAATGTCTTATACTTTATCTTTGTCTTATGTGACTGCGAAATCACAGGTTGAAATACCTTCCCTTACCTGAAGTCACCACACCTCACGCAACATTGCGTCGACTGTCACCCTGCCAAACACACCCAGGATGTTATATAACCTCGTTTTTTTGGCCTGCAAACCACTTTTTGACTCCAAACCGCTGTGCCTAGAATGTGCCCATCATCCTAACCATGATCGATTGTGACAGATAAAGTGTTGGAACTGCTTTCCAGATCCTGTGTTTGATAGTACACACCACATCAGAGGCTCTGTGCACCACCTTCACTGTGTTTGTAGCTGTCTTTTGATTTAATGTTCTTTTTATTCCTGTGCGCACTAAAGTGAATTAAAGTTAAGCAGGAAACAGACTCTAATGTTAAAAAAGGACATTTAATGCAACATAACTGGCTTTGTAAAGATGGTTTTACAGTGTGCTGTTTCCTGACATTAAGGCAAGTCACTGATGGAGAGTGTAGAGCTTGTAGACTGGCTTTGGACTTGTTTTGGATATTTTTTGGCTAGTTTTGGATGTAGGTTTTGGACTTGGCTTTAGGGTGGTTATGGCTTGTTGTAGACTGGTGACTTTGGGCTGGCTTTGAGGTCATTTTGGACTGATTTTGGTCTGGCTTGAGTCTAGCTTTGGACTGGTTAATGGCTCATTTTCTGCTGGGGCTGTCCTGGTTTTTGGCCTCGGTTTGGACTTTTTTTCAGACTTAGTTTTAAACGTAGCTTTTGGGATTTCTTTGGACTTATTTTGGGATCGGTATTGGATGTGCTGAAAGGTGGCGCAGTTGGTTAGCACTGTTGCCTCACAGCAAGAAGGTCGCCGGTTTGCGTCCCGGTTGGGGCACTGGGATCTTTCACCGGGATCTTTCTGCGTGGAGTTTGCATGTTCTTTCCGTGCAGCGTGGGTTCTCTCCGGGTTCTCCGGCTTCTTCCCACAAGAAATTGGTGATTCTAAATTGTCCATAGGTGTGGATGTGAGTGTGCTTGGTTGTCTGTCTCTAAGTGTAGCCCTGTGATAGACTGGTCCAGGGTGTCCCCTGCCTTCACCCTAAGTCAGCTGGGATAGGCTCCAGCCCCCCGCCACCCAAGTGAGCATTAAGTGTTGTATAAATAATGGATGGATAGTATTGGATGTGTTTTTTGGTTGGTTGTAGACTTTGTTTTGAACTGGTTTAGACTGGGGGCTTTGAGGTGGTTTTGGACTGATTTTGGTCTGGCTTGAGTCTAGCTTTGGACTGGCTAATGGCTCATTTTTTGCTGGGGCTGTCCTGGTTTTTGGCCTCGGGTTGGGCTTTTTTTCAGACTTAGTTTTAAATGTAGCTTTTGGGATTTCTTTGGACTTATTTTGGGATCGGTATTGGATGTGCTGAAAGGTGGCGCAGTTGGTAGCCCTGTTGCCTCGCAGCAAGAAGGTCGCCAGTTCGCGTCCCGGTTGGGACTGGGATCTTTTACCGGGATCTTTCTGCGTGGAGTCTGCATGTTCTCCCCGTGCAGCGTGGGTTCTCTCCGGGTTCTCCGGCTTCCTCCCACAAGAAATTGGTGATTCTAAATTGTCTGTAGGTGTGAATGTGAGTGTGCTTGATTGTCTGTCTCTAAGTGTAGCCCTGTGATAGACTGGTCCAGGATGTCCCCTGCCTTCACCCTAAGTCAGCTGGGATAGGCTCCAGCCCCCCGCCACCCAAGTGAGCATTAAGTGGTGTATAAATAATGGATGGATGGTATTGGATGTGGTTTTTGGTTGGTTGTAGACTTTGTTTTGAACTGGTTTAGACTGGGGGCTTTGAGGTGGTTTTGGACTGATTTTTAGACTGGTTTTGTCCTTGATTTTGGATTGTTTGTTTTGGACTTGGTTATGGGTTGGTTTTGGATTTGTTTTAGACTTGATTTGTGTTCGGTTTTGGGCTGGTTTTGGACAGATTTTTTTTGTAGACCTTGAAACTGAAATGAATCTTATTAATAGCTTGAGATCCAAAAAGCCTGGGGCTTTGTGTTTCATGAAAGAAGATAAAATGATGAATAAAAAAATATTTTTTTTTACATGGCTAGATGGTTATTTTTTTGATCCCTATTTCCTCTCATGCTTACATTAAGATTTAATTTGTGCACTGAAAAGATAGCCTGTAAAAATCTAATGCTTATTAGAGTTGTTATCATCAACACACTGCAACCCACTAACTTTTGTTGTATTATAGTTTTGATGAACAGAAATGATTTGTTTTCTTTGTACAGGTGGAACCTTGGCTGACTACATACAGAAGCGATGTAACTCCCTGCTGGACGAGGACACCATCCTTCACTTCTTCGTACAGATCTTACTCGCTCTGTACCACGTTCACAACAAGCTCATCCTGCACCGAGACCTCAAGACACAGAACATCCTACTCGACAAGCACCAGATGATCGTCAAAATCGGTGACTTTGGCATCTCCAAAATCCTTGTTAGCAAGAGCAAAGCTTACACGGTGAGCTGATTGGCATTTATTTGGGAAGTATAAACAGCATGAAAACATCGTGTGTGCTAACATGAATCAATAGCTCTTTTTGTCACTCCACAGGTGGTTGGGACTCCTTGCTACATCTCGCCAGAGCTGTGTGAAGGAAAGCCGTACAACCAGAAGAGCGACATCTGGGCTTTGGGCTGCGTGCTGTATGAGCTGGCGAGCCTCAAGAGAGCCTTCGAGGCTGCTGTACTAAAAGCATTTTCTTTGTAGTAATCCTTTTTTTTTCTGGGATATAATGATAATACTACATTTCTGTTAGCTTTTACAGCTTTATTATTCTTATTGAATTCATAATGCATCAACTCTTGCTGTGTGCAAAGGCAGTGAAACCATCCTAACAACCATCAGTGCTACATTATGTACACCGAGGGAGACGCTCAGAACCGTTTCTCAGAACATTTCATATGAAGACCTCAGGTTGTCCCATATTAAAGCGTGAAGCAGATTGGATAGGGCTTTTGATTTTCACACAAATCAATAATTCATCCAAATCTTTTTTTTTTTTTTGGGCTTTTGCTCAAATCTCTCTTCACTACCAATTCCACAGTGGTTTACTAATCTGAAAACCTTATTTCTTTGGCAGGGATTTGGGGAATTTTCCCATGCATATATAATGCATCTCGTAATTTTACTCTTTAATTTTGCTTTCAGAATCTACCCGCCCTCGTTCTGAAGATCATGAGCGGTACCTTTGCTCCGATATCAGACCGGTACAGCCCAGAACTTCGGCAGCTCATCCTCAACATGCTCAATCTGGATCCATCCAAGCGGCCTCAACTCAATGAAATAATGGCTCTCCCCATATGCATCAGGCCCCTGCTTAACCTCTACACAGATATAGGCAACGTAAAAATGCGAAGGTGGGGCCTTAATGCAACAGCAATGAGAAGATAGGCCTAATTTGAGATTCAGATTTACTAATGTTGTGTATAAATTCTCTCCATCACTGACTTTTTTCTCTCAGGATTGAGAAACCACTGTCTACTGTGCAAACTGGTCCTCAGGGTAGAGCAGGAGGGAGAGTTCCTACCAGCAGGTCCAGAGGTGAAGCACATATTATGATTATTTGATATTCAGGCTGACCACAGTACAAGAATTACAAATGAAGTTGTGTCTTCTTGGGCTGGAACAGATGGATCAGTGGGTTTAGGGTCAGGAAAGGTGCACACACTCCCACTGTCTTTGGTGTATACGTGGGGAAGTGGCATCTCAGCGCCTCTCCGCCTGCCCATGCTCAACACCGAAGTGCTTCAGGTGTCTCTCGGCCGCACGCAGAAGATGGGAGTCACTAAGTCCGGCCGTCTGATTACATGGGAGGTCTGTATACACCCCTACAGTTTTTATATATTTAGACTTTGGCTGTTTTAGAGGTTCCCGAAATAGTGAATTAGAATGTACTGTCCTTTGCTGATGTTTCCACATACAGCTGCAAGAATTTCATTTCACTGTGCTTTATTTCTAAAGAACTCACAAGGCAGTACATTTTGTAGCATTTTGTAGAAAGTATCACCGGTAACCGTCTCTGGTTTGGTCTTGTAGACTCAAAGAGAAGAAAATTTAGTGCAGAAGAGTCAGAAATAACAGCATTTGCTTCAGTAGTTTACGGCGCAAACAGCCAACATCAATTTGTTGAAAACAACATGTTTTTGCCCATTTTCTGAATTCTAGGAAACGCTAGCAAATGTAGAAAATCACTAAATGACTGGGTGACTTGGTTACTTAATAAAATAACACCTCGGAAGGACTGAACATCACAGCCTGATGGTGTCTAATTGCATTAGAGGGTGGATTCTTCCTTTAACATGATGTTTTCCAGGAAAGAGGTGCATTCTCACTCTGCTGCTGCCATAAAGAGACTCTCTGCCCACACAGACTTACAATCGTTTATCGTCACAGGCTCCGTCAGTGGGGTCTGGTGAGGCCAGTCTTCCCGGTGTGGTGGAGCAGATGCAGCCTCAGTTCATTTCTCGCTTCCTCGAGGGTCAGTCTGGAGTCACCATCAAGTCTGTGTCCTGCGGCGATCTCTTTACCACCTGCATGACAGGTTGGTGGCCCGTTCGTCTTTGGATAGCCATCAGAGAGATCACAGCCGTGCTCAGTCAGTGCAGCTCGGAGCTCTGCTGTAGGAAATCAATGTTTATTCTCTGCTTTCTGCACCCCCCCACCCCCCAACACTCTGCAAGAAACGGCTGAAAAACACTGAGGCAGCACTTGAGCGTACGTATGAAAGTGTGGATACAGCCAGTTCTTTTTCTCGATAGTGTGAAGCCACTTGTAAAATAAACCTCTTCATGCTTGCCAAGCAGTTTGGAGGTGCCGTTTTTCTCGAGCGCAAACCGTGGCGCGCCGTTAGTCGGAGCGCTTTAGGAGGCTGTCGTCAGTCCGTCCAGCATTGGAAAGCAGATAACACGGGATTAAAGACCCTTCCTCTCAGCTCAGTTGCCTCTCTTTCATCACTTTTCACTGACACAGATTAGCGTTTCCTAGATAGGGATTAGAAGCATTCTGTTGGTCTACATAAGAATACACCTACACTCATCAACTAATAGTACCATTAATCCCTTCTTTTTTATTTTTCAATTTGCAGACAGGGGCATTATCATGACGTTTGGGAGCGGGAGCAACGGCTGTCTGGGGCACGGTAACTTCAATGATGTAACGCAGGTATGTGTTCACAAGAAAACCTTTGAATGTCATATTATGAGTTTATTAAACACCAAACTGAAACCAAGACAGTGTAATGTAACAGTTCTGCTGGTGTTTCAGATATTTTTTCTGCATGTTTATATAAGGCGAGACTAGACTAAATATTTAAAACATCTCTCAAATAAAAATGGAACACTATCACCTTTATAAAGGGCAAGTGAGTCTATGTTTGTATTTTTTCTTCACTATGTAAACAGAATTACAATCTAAGCTATTACCTACTGTATATTATCCTGAGTCATACATCTAGCTGGTTCCTGCTCAGTTTAAAACATCAGCGTAATTATTAATCCAGTACAGTGTGCATTAATACAATACTGACAGTGACCTCCATAAGTATGCAAACAGTAGCTTGTTAAAAAAAAGTTGATGTTTCTGTTTACATACTTTTCACAATATATAAATATATATTTCAAAAATCTAAAGACATTCGCTATTTTTTTTCTCACTGCTTTGCTTTGATCTGAAATCCAAATCCTCAAAGCAGTAAAAGCAGACATTTTGCTTTACTTTTAACATGTTTTTGGAAGGCACTGAAGCTGCTTTTGCTCAGCTGGGATTTTTACTTATACTGAATGTATTTTTGACGCAGTTCATGATATTTTTTATTCTTTTTGCATTTCCTGTATGAATATGTGAGGGGATGCGTCACATTATGGCAAACATGCCTTAAAATGAATAATACTGTATGATTATGAATTTGCAGAAGGACATGATTACCTTTAACTTTTATTGGACAGGAAACAGGAGGAGAGTAACAATTTTGACACAAATGGACCCTGGTTTGATTTAAACTAGAGATGCTGCAGTTGAATTTATATATTTACCCAGAAGGCTACCAAAATGCTGCACTTATATGGCTTTTTGATAAAAACCTGTAATTTTACATTCCTTTCCTTCCTCTCTTTCTGCTCTCAGCCCAAGATAGTGGAGGCACTCCTTGGCTACGAGCTGGTTCAGGTGTCCTGCGGTGCTTCTCACGTTCTCGCTGTGACCAATGAGAGAGAAGTATTTGCCTGGGGAAGAGGAGACAATGGTAAAGTACATCGGCCAGTTGTGTTCAAACTCACTCGTGCTATTTTCCTCTTTTGGGTGTTTCTTTTTACGTCACTGATTTATGGCTGCTGTGTCTCACTCTGATTGCTGGGTCTCTGTCTGGAAGGTCGCCTCGGGCTTGGCACTCAAGACACCCACAACTGTCCACAGCAGGTGTGTCTACCTGTGGAATTCGAAGCCCAGAGGATAGTATGTGGAGTCGACTGCTCCATGATAATCAGCACCCAATACAGTATAGTAGCGTGTGGAAGCAACAGGTAATTATTCTGTTTCTCAAAGCAACATACTGACTGGAAAGAGTTGAAGATAAGCAGAGAAACACATCTTTTTCACATTTCATGAGGCGACACTTTCACTGTATGTTTTCCTTAAAGGATAATAAATTGCACCTCCCATAGGCTTATGTTACAAATCCGGCCATGTGCGTGGGGTGGTGGTAGATTAAAGGTTCAGAGAGATAGTTTCTTGGTGCACAACCTGTGAGACAACATTCTCCTAAAATGACACTTTGTTTGCACTCATTGTTAATGTCTTTCTCTGAGAGGATGTAGATCTCTGTGTCAGTAGGTGTAACTGCAGTAAACATAGCAGTTTAGGCCAAAGAAGGACCGTTCAGACACCCATGCATCTTACAGACATAGAAACAGACATAGAAAATATATGAGTCCTGTGAGAAACCTAAATTTAGGTTTAAGTACAGGTTTAAAAAGGTTTTGGTGAATGCTACAATACTGTTTCTGTTTAAAATGTCTGTGGTCAGGTTCAACAAGCTCGGCCTGGACAGGATTACATCTGGAGAGGAACCAAATCCCTCGAATCAAGTGGAAGAAGTTCATTCTTACACTCCGGTCCAATCAGCGCCCCTCAACAGCGAGAAGACTGTTTACATTGACATCGGGACGGCCCATTCAGTTGCTGTTACAGGTTGAAATATTCACAATATTACTCATTTTGAAGCAGATTTGTTTGCAGCGCACTGGGAAGGAAGAATCCTACACCACATTTTGATCATCAGACGTTCATCAGGCCAATACAAACAGTAATATTTCAGTCAAGAGATTTCGACTCAGCTTCTCTTTCGTGTTCTAGAGCTTTTCCTATTAGCTCCAAGTTACGCAAAAAACCTCCAGGAAAGATCACATTTAACATGTTACATTTTTAGAGTCAAGCTAAAGGGCTAAAGCTAAATAAAAAAAAACACAGAAGTGTAGAAGACATGAAACACTTAGCACCACCTCTAGTGTGATTTTCATACATTTTCTTGGTCTGTGTCTTTTCAATGTCCAGAAAGAGGTCAGTGTTTTACCTTCGGCAGCAACCAGCACGGCCAGATGGGCTGCAGTTCCCGTCGTAGCAGCCGTGTTCCCTACCTGGTGCCCGGCCTGCAGGGTATCACCATGGCTGCCTGTGGCGACGCCTTCACCTTAGCTATCGGATCAGGTGAGGAGAAGAGAATAAGTGACATATCTTGATCCTCTCTGTTTTTAAAGGCCCGACACACCTGCACAGGTGAGTTCAGCTGTTTTATCTGCTCTGTTTAGTTTGGGGTATACTTCACTTGAGTTCACTGGAATATTATAATAATAACAAGAAGGAGAAAATGTGCATGTAGGTTAGTGTCTGTTCATTGAAATACACTTGCTTGATTTGGAAAAAAAAAAAACCTATTGGAGCTAGCATGGATTACAACAGCAGTCTGCAAAGCTCTACATTATGCTTTATATTATTATTTTATCAAACGTGATATTTGGGGGGATTATGGTGCAGTTAAGAAAAGTTACAGCTGAAAGATAAACAAACCATTGTTCCTGAACAAAAGGTAAGTCTCACCCCGTCTTTCAAGGCAGCTGAACATTGGAGCATGTCGCCATTTCACGTATCAGAGTTATCAGATCAGAATCTGTGATGAGAAGGAAGCACAATAAAGGCGTCTTGCCCTGTTCCATTTAGAAAGACAAGATGTCTAATCAGCCAAATTAGGTGAGATCATCTGTGTAGCTGATTTATGTACTTGGTTAAAGAAACCCTGAAACGAAGCAGACAGATAATGCAAAACATTTCATACATGACCACTGTTGTATTGTGTTTATACTTGGATGACAAATAAGAAGCACACATGAATGTTCTGCATTACAATATATGAGAAATATTCCACAGTAAAGTTGTAAAGCAGCAGGGTTCATCTGAGCTCTGAGCACAGGCAACATTTTGTACATATCTGTGGTTTTTAGAAAAACTGAGTTCTGGGACACTGAGGGCATTTTAATGAGAGTCACTCAGTTTCAAACTGTCCCTGTGAGTAGCTGTGTGACCACACTGCAGTAATGTAACTTTAACTCCAAAACAAAGCCAAATGAATGTGGTGGATTTCACGTCACACTAAAGTGAACTCAAAGTTTGTCACCAATGGCTTCATGGAGCACACGGTAGAAAATGGTTAGCAATAATGTAAACTATACATAGTTTTTAACTAATGTGATAAACACAGAAAACTGTTGGCTTAGTTCTTTAAACACTTGGGTTAACAGATAGGTAACAGATGTATGTGTGTTTGTACTCGACTGTCTGTACGTGTGTGTGTTGTTCTTACAGCTGAGGGTAAAATGGTAAAATGTCACATTGTGCCAGCGATTGGCCCCCTGGGGAGAAGCCAGCAGTGCCAGCTCTGCCTGTAGGTTTTCTTTGTTGAAGAAAGGCTTTGTTCGGCTCTGACTTCTTACAGATTGAGCCATTATGCTGCCACTGCAGGAGCGACAGAGCTGTCAGTTAAAGATTTGTGTGGATTAATGCGTCCTGGGGGTCTCGCTCTGAATTCGGTCACAGCTCCCTCTTCTCCTGTTTTCCTGCAGAAGGGGAGGTGTACACGTGGGGAAAGGGGGCCCGCGGCCGACTCGGAAGAAAAGAGGAGGACTCTGGGATACCGAAGGCGGTGCAGCTCGACGAGAGTCACCCGTTCGCGGTGACATCGGTGGCCTGTTGTCATGGCAACACTCTGCTGGCAGTGAAACGTAATATTTCGCTTATTACCCTCTGTTAACAAACACTGTGAGATGTTGGGATGTGCTGAAATCTAACTAATCCCCAGATGAAAGACGGGCTGAACTCGAAACAAGCTTCTGCTGATAACGTCGGCAGAGCTGCATGTTTTTCATTGCGAAAGGACTCATTTGTAAGTTTGAAAGCTTAGCTAGGACATGAAGTGTTTACATGTTTAAGCACATCCAGTCACAGGTGGTGTGTCGACACGTTTGCTTATGTTAACAAACTTGTTCCTTATAGCTACACTCGACTGTTTCTGTCTGCGAGGAATCAGTCCAGTTTTACAGACATCTAATACTTTTGGACCAACCTGAACGATGACCATAGAACTTTTCCTGAGAGGAACAGAAAACAGTGATGGTGCACAATCCACCAGATTCTAATGAACGCTTAAAAACAGTGAAGGTGGGATTACACTCCGAATTCAAAATAGCTACAGAATTAGAGAAGATTAAACTGCATCCCAATTTAATAAGTAACAGAGATGGTAGTAATCCTTGATGCGGACTGCAGGGCTGCTGCTGAAATGTTTCCTTTGACCTGAACCATGTGACAAATACATGGAGACCAACCGCTGTGAGTGGGTTAGACCATTATTACAGAACATTTCCCACAACAAGCAGCGACATGAGCACGCAGGTGACAAAGATTTTGCCTCCATGACCGGACTAGAAGCTGAATATTACACTTCAATGAAAACATTTCTAATAATATAATAGTATTTATATGTACTTTAACTTATGAAGCAGTGTACTTAACACAAACACTGTCATTTTATATGCATAGTAAAATCATGTCAGGTAATCATGTACAGAAAGTAAACGTCACATAATTGGAGAAAAGTGAACTAAAATCAGTTTTTAGTCTCCCTCTGCACAATTCTTTGAAGACCTCAGATAACAAGCCACCAAAATCCTAATTAGGTGATGATCTGAGTTCAGTGCATAAGGTTTATTTTCCAGACTATTGTTGTTCTAACTATGTTACGTAACACAAACATCCAGAATGCAAAGTGTAGCTAGAATCATCACAGAGCAAAGTTTCACTACGTGGATCCCAGCTTTGTTTACCCCGAACAGATGCATGTGTGTGATACTAAAGACACTTTGTTCATTGTTCCACTGATCAGCATGTTGTGATAGCAAACAGGAAACACACTCATGAAGCCAGTAAACATGGATATGAAAATACAGGTTTTGCACGTTCAAGAAAAATCGTTTTTTCAAATGTTTTATGAGGGAGGAAATGCATTCAGTTCGACTTGAGGGCAGCACATCATTTGTTTTGGTAAACAGAAACTTTGTTCACAAAAAGCCCCACAGGGCAAATTTAAAGTCTGAGCAGTGAGCAAAAAACAGCATTTAGGCTGTCCCTGGAAAGTGAAGAACTTTACTGACTAATTTACTGACACTCAGAAGAAAATAGATTTTTTTTAAAATGATAATTTAAATGTTTTACAGGATTAACTGTTGGATCAGTGTGAAAATAGAGTCCAGAAAAATATTATTGTGACATCAGGTTGCCAAACATGCACAAAACTTTTCAACAATGCTTTAAATTTTAGTTTGATCCCAGTCGAAGAAGTCTAATGTTGATGTTCAAATCGAAAAAAAGCTTCTTTTTTAAACCTGTATTACGTGACAAAAGTAGAACTACAGACAGGAATAGAGGATGATAACGTGTCAGAGGTCTGGACGGAAGCCAAACTGTGGTCAGTTGTGTGGTGTCCATGAGACGACCAAACTTCCAACAGGGTGTTTGCTTGGCATGCAGGTGTAACTGTGCAGCCAAGTGACGTGAAGGATCCTGTTTCATATCGACAGAACAACATCACAAGCTTGTAGTGATATTTTATCGACAAATTGATTTATTGACCTTCAACAGTTTGTACAATGGAGAGTCATGTGCTGACGCTTAGATAAAGTGATAGATTTATTGACGGAAGAATTGTTTTGTGCAGAAAATATCAGGATACGGAGACAGTTTCAAGTCAAGATGGCATTGTCAGATTCAGTTTACTGCCGTATATAAAGAAGAAAAATGGAACCAGTGAAATAGACATACTTCAGCTGTACTAACTTCTCATCTCTCTTGTTTCAGCTCTGCTCGAGGAGCCTGTCCCGAGATGATTTTACCCAGAAAACTAACCCAATCAGTGGCCGCCATGAAAGCTGGCCGTGGCCTGAGGAGGAGGAGGAGGAGGAGGAGGAAGACAGCTTCCTCGGTTTCATTCTACAGCTGCAGCCTCAGATTTTCTCTTGCGCTTCGTCTCTGTCTAGTCCATCTATTTTTCTTTCAGGAATGTTTGCTTGTTTCACTCAGCAGCTTGATAACACGGAGCAAAGCTCAGAAAAGGTCGTGGCCTGTCTGTGGCAGCAGGTGTATCACAACAGGTAGGTCAAAGGAATGTTGCAACACTGATACTGAAGCTGGATTAGAGGAAGTCATTAGGCAGCTGTCATGTGGAGAGCTATTGTCCTCTCTCACGTGCGGCATTTGCACGATAAACTCGTGAAAGGCCAGCGAAAGTCAAACTGGTTTGAGCTCTCTTAAGCAACTGGTGAATGAGACGAAAAGAATGAAACCACTTGAGCGATCATCAGTCAAACGGAGCGAACACATTCATCTTGGTCACATCGTCAGTGGTCACTTTGTGCTTTATTGGATTAGTCCTCCAATACAGCAGTGTTCGAACCAGATAACGACGGGCTGAGTCAGAAATCACTCCCTTGTTCACCCTTTCACTGCTCTGCATAATAAGCACTCAGCAGTTCACTCATGGACGATTTATGAACCAGAGGGCCCCTGTGCACAGACGCATAAAAGCCCCCCAGTCGTCCCCCAGAAGAACATAAACCCAGACTGAAAGCCACACAGATGTGATTTGTGGCGGCTTTGTGTCTCCAGCTGTGCAACTTTCTGATGTTTTGAATCATTTTATGCCCCATTGTGGTCCATTTGTATGTCATTTTGCATCGCTCTGTGGTCCTTTGCATTTAATTTGTGTTGTTTTTTTGTCTTATTTTGCTTGTTGTGTCTCTTTTGGGTCATTTTTTGTCACATTTGGGTTATTTTGTGTCTCGTTTTGTATCCCTTTGTTGCCATTTTGTATGTTTGTTGTTATTTTACTTCAAGTCTCATTTTGGTTGTTTTGTGTCACTTTCTGGGACAAACAGCAACTCGTCACGCCATTAAACAGGTGTACAACATCAATCATTTCATTACAGTGCGATGTTCTGATGAGAAACGTTGGCTCCTCGTATTTAAGTGGATGTTACTTTGACACATACCACCCGACCAAGCACACTCTCATACAATTGCGGCCTCCGTCAACCAGGTAAAGCCCCCTGCAGTTCTGCAAAAACAGCTCAGAAATGACTCGAGAAACAAAACCAAGAGCTCAAGTCTTGACCCGACTTCCAAACTCCCAGATCCCAGTCCAATTGTGCATCCACAAGATATGCAGGAACAATTTCAATCCATGGAGGTCCCACCCTACAACCCATAAGACCCAAATGATCTGCTGGCAATGTCCCAGTTTCAGACATTTCAGGACACTCCAGGGGGTCACGCCTCAACAAGGAGGACCTGCCCAATAGTAGGCAGGTGGTTTTAATGTTGTTGACAATCTTCCTGTATTACAATTATGGCAAAAGACCACAGCCCGATGTCTCCTTGAGCCCCTCAACTCGTGTCCAGGAGGCCCAGTCAGTGATCTGTCCATGAGTTCACTCTGTAACGAGCAGTAAAGTTTGTTTCATCACTGTCATCAGTAGGAAGTAGCGGCCATGCAGTCAACAGAGCTGTTTCTACACCTCACTTGTAACTCAGATAAAGGTAAACCACAACTAAAGGGCTCTATACAGTAAACAGGGAGTGATTTCTGACACAGACTTTTAATGTGAATGTGTAGCAGATTTTAAACATGATGGTGATGTATGTCGTGTAAACTGTTCTTAAGATGACCAAAGACAAAAACTACCAAAGCATCTAGACAGCCCAGCAGAAACAAGTACTCAGGTCTTTTACTTAACCCCTTAAACCATTGACTACTTTATTTTTTTCTGCCTAAAAAACTTTTTTATGTTCAGTCAGTAGCAGCTGCACAGCTGTGAAGTCCAAATGAACAAGCATCCATCTGAGACACTTGTTTAAATACACTGAGCCTCTGTGTCCCTACCAGCAGGCCAGAAAGAAAACTCGCCTGATCAAAATTGTAAATAACAGACAAATAGAAATGAATCACAACAGTGACACATTCATTTTAGTCATAGTAGTAACAGGAGACCTCTTCAGAGAATGAGCAACACTCTGGAAACTCCCGGTACAGACGCCAGCAGTGGAAAGGGTTAAGCAAAGTGAACTAGATTCTAAAAAAATTAAAGATGTATAGAAACAAAACATATATGCTACGCTCAAAGAGATTAAAAAAACATAAAGCATACAGTTTATGAATAATTTGTTACAAGTGAAAAGGCTGCGATCAGTTTTTTCTGAGGCAAAATATGTACAAAATGTATAAAGTATCTGTAACGACGGATGATTAATCCTGAATTAAGTACTGCAGAGTGGGGCTAGTTGAAGTACACACACACACACACACACACATATGCTGCTTGGTAGCATAATCTTTATTAATCTTTTGCAATATATTGACAGATCATCATTTATTAACTGACTATATCCTGTAATAATAATGTCAATGTGTAAACTTGTGACTTTAAAATAGTCTGTTCCTCTATGCGTTGTGCACATGTGCCTTTTTATATTTGAATTTTGCTTCTAATTACTTTTTTTTCTTCTGGGATTAAAAACATACATTTTTTACTTTTACTAAAGATTAAGCGTGACAGGTGCAATGAAGTACTGGTGAGCAGAAAAACATGCAGAAACCTTGACATCAGTTTGGCTGTATGGGTCAATAAGAGAGAATCTGTTACCTGCAAAACACATATTTATGCTGAATAATGTTTCTGATCTTTGCCATGACTGGGAACTAGTAATGCATCTCAGAGTAATGATCTTAAAATGATTAAGTGCCCCTCTCAGTGTCGCCTCCACAGCCCCATTTTCATCCTCACATGATCCTGCATTTCACTCTGTAACAGCATCTGATTAATTAGCAGCTGGAGCCATTATTGTAATTATTAGCACAGATTAAGTCAGTTAAAAAGAAAAAAAAAATCCCTCCCTGAGTGAAAAAGGGGGTCTTGTTGATTCCAGACACCTTTTTTTTTTTTTTTTTGAGGACAGGGCTCAGCTGCCATTGTTGTCCTGTGTGATGATGTAATGGTGATGTAATCCGGTGGCAATACAAGCAGGTGAAAAATGATCCTGATGTGAGGATGCTCGCTTTATCGCGACTGTTTGAAATGATGTGCTCACGTTTGTATGTCATGATTGTGATAATGCAAGCCAGGTGTTGTTGTTTTTTTCAATGTGTTTATAAAAGATTTAACAACAAAAAAACCCCAAAAACAGAGAATAATGTAGATTTTGTGTGTTGCTCCACCACCAGGGGGCGTCTGTCACCTCTGACTGCACTGGATCCTCATTCAGTTCTATTTATGTGATTTAAACCTTCACAGCAGAACCCCTTCTCATGTGTGTTTTTACTAAATGGGGGGTGTAAAAGTGTATTTTTATTTATTTACTTTATGTTTAAATCCACCTGTATATTTCTGTCATTCATTTTAAAGGACTTTTTTGTGGACATCTAAAAATCAAACGTGGACATGCAGAGAGGTGGATCTCATTAGAGGCCACTGCAGCCGGACAAAAGCCTAATTAAAGATCCATAAAGGGGAGATCAGAGGATAAAATGGTGTGAACGGAGCGTTTCAGCTCCTTGACTCCTCCTGCATGGAGGAGGAGGAGGAAGAGGAGGAGGAGGAGGGGGCGGGACTCGGTTGCACCTAAACAGACGGAGGCTTTTTTACATTGTGCTCAGTGTGTCAGTCCTGCATCACCAGAGGAGCCTCACGGTGCAGCTCTGCCGGCCACAATACAGGGGTGGGAAAAAAAGCAGAGCCTTTATTGCAGGAGGGAAGGATCGATTCCTGCAGGATCCGAGCCGTCTTCTTTGTTGGCATCAAGGAGGAGGAAGAAGAAGAAGCCCGATCTGTCGGCGGCGGAAGGGACGTGATATGAGCTCCTCATCGGCTTAGACGGCAGCGCAACAGCCCCGGGTTTTTGTGTTGTTTTTTCCTTGCAAAAGGGGGTGGGGGGGTGGGCTTGCACCGAGGAGGACATTTGTACCTTTAACCTGCAGCTCGAAGGCCCGACAGCAGCAGCAAACATGCCCGGGTTTGATTACAAGTTTCTGGAGAAGCCAAAGAGACGCTTCCAGTGTCCGCTCTGCAGCAAGGCGATGCGGGAGCCGGTCCAAGTGTCCACCTGTGGACACCGCTTCTGTGACACCTGTCTGCAAGAATTTCTAAGGTAAGATCTGTGTGTGTTTGTTTGTGTGTGTGTGTGTGTGCTGCTGCAGAGATCCACCTCTCTCTCTGTCTGCAGCCGATACCGGACACTACAGCTCCGTCTAGTTTCGGTCGAGCAGCAGTAAATAAAGGCTGTGTAGGTGTGTCCTGCTCACCTTTCCTCTGCGGGGCTTTACATTAATTTGTCTTTTGTGGTGCTGCTGCTGCTGCACACAGCAACAACACAATGTGAGGCCTGGTAAACAGCGCCTGATTGGAGACCCCCCTCCCCTCCTCTCTCTCTCTGTCCTCATGGCTTCAGGTGTGTTTGCTCCCTCTGGATGCAAAAAAAAATAAAAATCCCCTCAGATCATTCAGGTTTCCTTCTAACAATGCAATCTTTATGCCTGATTCATTGAACATCCTTGATGCTGTGGTGCTTGTGTCCTGCAGAGGGCCCCTGCCTCCTCATCCTGTCTGTGTTTGTGCCCCAGGCTGCCTCAGTCTGCATGGTGTGTATATCCATGTGTTGTGTTGTGGAGGCAGATCTGAGTCCAGGATTAGACACCCAGGTTCAGAGGTGGCACCGGTGGGGGGGCCACTCGGGGACCTTTTCACTCAGGGGTCAGCAAGTATGACGGCCCTCCTCACCTCCTAATCTGCTCGACACTGAAATCAGTGTCAAGACTGGCACAAAGACAGTCTTTGTTTCATTGTTTTAAAGATGACACCGTCACTAATGGTCACGCTGCACTTTAAGGAGACTCAGGATGCATTAAGTCTCGTTCTACGACTCACCTGCAGGTTTTTTACCTGCCTTTTATTCCCCAGGCTGATCCGCTGCAGTGTTAAACTTCTGCACGTGACTCTTGATTTATGTCTTTATGTGATGTTTAAGGGCAGTAAATCATCTCTGGGGGCAACGGAGCTCCAGTCAGTCTCTGAAGAGGTGGACGCACTAATACTTTGTTGTTACGCTTTTATTGAAGTTGTAAGAAGATCTCCTTCATCTAGAAGCCAGATTGAGTAAATCAGATGTAATAGTGATGATTTACATTATCGATAATCCAAACGAAGTAATAGTCTTGCCTGTAAAATGATCCATCACAATGATATAAAAGACACAAGCAAACAGAATTCCTACTTGAAAAAATCAACTGATAATAATTCATTGAGAATTAAAATAACTGTTGATTAATTTTCTGCTGACTGATTGTTTCAGCTCCATAACAAACTGTGATGATTTATTAGTTACATTACCGATGACCAAGAACTGAAAAGGTGGTTCATAAAGCTCCCCCGATTACTTGATTAATCAATTAAAAAAAAAAATCTGCCACTGTTTTCATATTCAACTAATTGTACAAGTATTTTTTAAGCCTGTTTTTCCTTGATTTTTCATAATTTATTTAACTTTTTAACTGTTATTCGGACAAATTAGACATTATAAAATGTCAGCTGAGGCTTTAAAAGGCATCTCACAGCTATTTTGACGAAGAATAATCAATAAATTCAACCAATAGTCGATATATTACAGCTGCTTTTCATTCAATTTGTCTCTCAAAAGCCTGTTAAATGTGCATTCATCTTGATTTCTTCAGAACAGTTAATGTTTCTGTCACTGATTTGTGACAGTCTGAAGACATGATTGTGGGAGTTTAGTTTGTTGTCATTGTTTTTATTTACTTATTGTTTGAAAATCATCCCGGAGCTCTTTGGATCAGACTCACAGTGTTTTGAAAGTAAAGCTGATTAATTGATTCGTTCGATTGCCAGAAGATGAATAATTTACAGTTATGTTTCAAGGAAAAATGCCAAACGTTTGATGCCTTTCAGATTTGAGGGTTTGCTGCGTTTCTGTGTCACATGACAGAGAACAAAATATATTTAGCTCTGAAAAGAGAAAAAACAAATGCAATTTACAGATGACACTTTAAGCTGGAAGAAACTGTTTGTTGTTTGCTGATGTGTTACAGGCCAAGTTCTTCAGTGAAAAAATCATTAGCTGCAGCTTGTGCTGACTTGATGGAGATTGATGTAGAAATAAAAACTCCCATTCATTGACTCATAAGTTGTGAATGAAAGTGGATCTTCTGTATTCACACACAAAACAAGTGTATTCTTGTTTTTTCTGTAGTGAAGTCTAGATGACATACTGTACAGTGGGACACCAGACATCAGCCGTGTTGATTCAACGCTGAGCTTCAGTGATTCTATGGAAAGATAAATGGAGAACAACAAAACACAAACTTGCTTTTGTTGCAAACAAAGAAGCAGACTGTCTGCAGTTTCCGAAGCCTGAGAGCTGCTGAATGTAGTTAAATGTCACATTTTAATTGTTAGAATTCAGTTTTATGAGTCATATAAATGTGGCAGCTTCATGGGTTGTTGTTGCTTCTATAGAGAAATGTCTCAGTCTGACTGATGTGCAGCCACAAAACTGGTCCTGCTGCTATTTAACTGTAACCAGTGCTGAAAATGATCTTAAAATGTCTTCAGGTTTCCTCGATGAAACATACAGACAAACTGAGGGAGCACATATGCTGTTACCTTCTTTTAAAACTCCACTTGTTTTCAGGAAGGAGCACTACCTTATTTAGTGATTATTCCCTCGACCTTCCTGCCTGAGCTTGACAGCAGGTGGACTGATGCTGTGAATACATTAACGGGTTTGTCGTGAGTTCCTGCTTTGCAGAGTTTTGAGTCATCCAGAAGCCTCCTCTGTTTTACTAAACAGCAGCAAATTGCATCTGGTTTGAAAAGCAGAAAACTGCGATGAACAAAGAGAGCGAGGGAGGAACAGCGTTCCCTGCTGATCAATGAGTTTGGCCCGACGCTTTGTCTGCCTCATCCCGCCCGCCTCCGTCTTCGTCCTCCAGTTTATGCTCTTTAAAAAAAGAGAAAACTCCCACAGACTGACTGAATTTAAGTAAAGTTTCACAACTTATCTAAGTTTTTAGCTGAGTAACTTTGGGCGTCTGTGGTCGGGATGATCAGACGTGACTTATTGACCCAAAGACACGTCAATCATGAAGGAACAGTCCTGCAGGATGTGAGTCCTCCTGCTCTCTCACTGCTTCTGAGCTGTGACTAGTGGCTTTATCATTTACTAATGCTTCACAGGTCAGTTGGAGGACAGTATTAGGAAGAACGTTTGGTGTGACTTGCTGTAAAAAACACTCATTGCATCATTTGACAACTTATTAACTCTTAAAAGTCATTTGTAGCTGCAGCCCAGATGATTGCAAATCTTTATCAATGACTTGTTAATGTTAATAGCTACAACATAGACAACTGAAACTCTTTATCAATGACTTCATAACATCTATACCTGCAGAGTAGGTGATTAAAACTCTATAATAGGGACTTTCTTGGCATTTTGTTACTGCAGAGTTGATGACTGAAGTTTGTTATCAGTGCCTTGTTAACATCTATACCTGCAGACTAAATGATTGGAACACTTTAATATTGATTTCTAACACATGAAAGCAGACGTGAACTTTTAATAATAGATTCTAACTTTTAAAACTACAACACTACTGAATACAAAAAGATAATTTTCTGACCTCGTCAACCCTAAGAGTTGAGTTAAACTTCTTAGAGTGACTCACAACTGATGTTAGAAGCATCATGGAGTGATTAATTAACCACTAATAAGCCCATTAGTTACATTTAATGCCTCCTTACTGAAGACTCGCATATTACAAGGTGGGATCTGAGATTTTAAACCAGCGTTCAAATTAGTATTGTAATCAGGAGCCACCTCGCAGATTCAATAAAGTGTAAATAAACATTTACATGAGCGGTAGATTGAGTTTTTGCAGGCCTCCCGCCCTCACCGGCACTGACAGGCCGACACAGCGGACAGGCTCCATTCTCACCTCTTTAATTAACCAAGTGTGCCAGTCGAGGCCATCGAGCGTGTGCATCTTTTGTGAGCGGAGTTCAAGTTTATTGAGGCTGACAGACGGTAGTTAGCTAATGCTTCGCCCATTGTGCAACTAGGTTGATCCTTTCCCCTGTAATTATTGAGGGCTGTGTCACATCCAGTCCGGACTTGCCAGCCTGGTCTGCCCACTTTCACATGGACGCCTCTGGTGGCGTCTCCGGAGCCCTTTGCTCTGTCGCAACAAGCCGCACGGGAAGGTCTACAGTGGCGGCATTGCTGCGGTGTTACTCATTGTTTCTTAAGAAGTAGCTGTCACTAAACCGCAGTGGTCGCAATTTGCTTTAACTCCCATTATTTAGCATTTATAGGCAGCATTTAAACCTTTTAAATAGTTTGCATTGAAGTAAAATACATCAACATTTTACATTTAAATGCCAACAACTTCCATAAAAAGAAGTTTTCCATTTATTGGTGCATGAATATGCTTATATCAGCTCGTAACTACAATATATTTTGTTATAAATCCTTTGTTAGAGTGTATTTGCTGGATATAAAAACGAAATCGTGGCAGTTAAAGTCTCTTGAAAAGCTTAATCCAGTGTTTTCTCTTCAAAGGGCGACACTATAAAGTGAAACGCCCAGAGAGGCACTCGAGGAAACGCATGAATTGTTCTTGCTTTACCATGTCCGAGTGCCTCTGTTAGCATGTGATGCTAATGGGCTGTGTTTCCGCCCCAGGAGGAATGTGTAAATACAGCAGCAGCAGCAGTCCTGGAGGCTGCCCTCGCTCCCAGGGAGAGTCATGGGGTAAAAGCAGCACTGCCCTGCAGCCTCAACACTCCCCGCAATCAAATAAGAGTCACATGCTTCAGCAGTTCGGTGTGTGCTGACCAGAGCAGGCCTTTGTCTTGGCTGCAGTGCCTCGCTAATAAAGCAGAATCAACACTTAATAGCGGGGCTTACGGCCGCGCCACACATGCCGGGCCTCGTGGCTCGTCGGTGCCGGGTCTCCTGAGCCACCTTGCGATGTGACAGCGGAGCCTCTGTGGGGATGATGCAGTGCCGTGCCACGGCTTTGACAGGGGTGTAATTGGTTTGTTCGGCTCGGGAGCCTCTTCCTGCAGGCCTCCACG